ATTCAGTTTAGAAAAGTTTGCGGACTCTTTTCGAACTCTCTGTCCTCTCAAAGTTCATACAGTTATTTTAAATTTACTTAAAATTGTTTTTTGAGACTGAACTGATTGTGACTTGGAAGTGCTGTGTTACAAATTTTTCTACTAATTATTTAACATAAAAAATGTGCTGTTTACAGGTTACCACAAATCCAGAGGAACCTAGAATATATATATATATATATATATATATATATATATATATATATATATATATATATATATATATATATATATATATATATATATATATATATATATATATATATATATATATATATATATATATATTACATCATCTTCATAATAAATTATTTAAAATATTTTTTTTTGAGTTAAGATGCGACGGGAGCAGGCAGAAGACAAAAGTCTTATCATCCAGGTAGTGTATATATATATATATATATATATATATATATATATATATATATATATATATATATATATATATATATATATATATATATATATATATATATATATTACATCATCTTCATAATAAATTATTTAAAATATTTTTTTTTGAGTTAAGATGCGACGGGAGCAGGCAGAAGACAAAAGTCTTATCATCCAGGTAGTATATATATATATATATATATATATATATATATATATATATATATATATATATATATATATATATATATATATATATATATATATATATATATATATATATATATATACACACTACCGCTCAAAAGTTTCGAAGCAGTTGGGTTTTTTTACAAAAACATAGATAAAAAATAATTTTATACCTTTATTCACAATGTAATTAACATTTACACTTTAAATTAAACTTTTACCAATCTAATCAACATCTGTCTATCAATATCTTATATATATAACCAACTATCTGTCAATATTATTTATATTTTTAATTCATCAAAATGTCCACCTTTATTTTTAATCACAGCTGTGCAAATTTGGGGCATTCTATTTATTAATTTAGTAAAATATTCACAATCTAATGAGTACCATTCTGTTTGTAGGTATTCCCACATGTGCCTAGCACTACTTGGAGATTTATTTTTAACCCTTCTATCCAACTCGTCCCAAACTAGCTCGATTGGTGACAAATCAGGTGATTGGGGTGGCCATTTCATAGTTTTTATAAGTTTATCTTGTTTTTTCTCATTTAAATAGGACATACACAATTTTGAAGCATGTTTCGGATCATTATCCTGTTGAAATATGAAATTTGATCCAATAATTTCATTTCCAGAAGGCAAAGCATGGTCCTGCAAAATTTGTAAATATCCTTCTTTGTTAAGTTTGCCATCTATTTTTACTAATTTTCCTGGTTTATTATTTCCGAAACATCTCCAAACCATTATATTACCTCCACAATGTTTAATTAATGGCACTGTGCACTCTGGCAAAGCCCTTTCATTCTTAGATAGTCGGACAAAAACTCTTCTGTTTGAACCGAAAATTTGAAATTTCTTTCGTCAGTCCAAAGTACATTTTTCCATTTTTCAAGTGTCCAATCTTTATGAGTTTTAGCCCAAGCCAACCTGTTTTTCTTATGTTGTTTTGTTATTTTCGGTTTTTTAGCTGCTACACATCCTCGGAGACCGGCAGAGTTCAATCGTCTTTTAACTGTTGAAACTGACACTGTTCTTGGACGAATTTCATTTAATCTTGCTGCAATTTCGGGGGCTGTTAAACGACAGTTTCGCTTTGAAGTTAATTTTATAAATTGATCTTCATTTACTGTTGTAATTTTGGGTCTCCCACTACGTTTCCTGTCTTGATTACTGTTGGTTTCTTATTGCCTTTTTAATGTATAATGAACCGCTTTTGCAGAAACACCCAGTTTTTTTGCAATTTCTCTCTTACTTTACCCTTCACCTCTAAGTGTACAAATTGCACTTCGTTTATCAATTGTTAACTGTGATCGTTATATCGCCAATATAAAAATAAAAAATAAAAAATTTGTCTAAAAACACCACTCGACTATAATTGGTTTAGCGCACTGTTATTAAAAAGATAACTTATCGGTGTGCTAGTAAATAACTGACTGAAAGATGTTTACTAATAACTTTGGTAACATAATTTTACCGATTTCATGTTCAGACAGGTTCAAACGTGTTTGTTTTGTTTATTAGATAAAATGACTTCAAAGCGTCTAAATTAACTGCTTCCAAACTTTTGAGCGGTAGTGTATATATATATATATATATATATATATATATATATATATATATATATATATATATATATATATATATATATATATATATATATATATATATATATATATATATATATATATATATATATATATATATATATATATATATATATATATATATATATATATATATATATATATATATATATATATATATATATATATATATAAACTGGGCTGTCCCGAAGAGATCTTAAATGGGGGAATGGGGGAGACGTATCTGTTTTATGTCGAGTAATACCTAAAAAAAATTTTGTTCTCGTTGGCTAACATATGCCGACTGCTAATTATAGAACCAAATTTGCCAACTCCAGAGTCCAAATTTGCCAACTAATAATTTTAAAGGGAGATTAGATACCCTCCCCGACGCCAGTTTGCTTAATTCAAAGAACATAGATTAATATCTTTGAATAATTGTATAACACCCGATGCAGTATTGCAAATAAACAAAGGCAGTCAAAATGGCGTCAAATTTCAGGAGCAGCATGAGCAATGTTTAATCTTTTATAAAGCAAGTTTACTCTTCTGTATGATTATTACAAAATTATTGAAAAATGCAACAAAGATTAAAATATTTTTCAATAACTCAAACTATTGAAAAAAAAGTTATTATAGTTAAAGTACTAAGTTTCTTCAACCAATTTGATACAAAATAATAGTTACCATTAATGAACACATATGCTCCCAGGGGCACATAACGTTCGTTAAACGTCTTACGGACGTCTTATGAATCTGTGCACAAGAACAGACTTCTGTGCCCACTGGGCTGTTATATTCTAAATTTTTTTAGTCGATCTTTTATTTTTTAATGTGCTTTATTTAAACTTTACGCCGCCCAAAAAAGTTGTTATAGGAAATGCCAAACATTTTTAGTGAAGCACTGCCGAAAAAAAAAGAAAAAAACAAACATCACTCTGTTGTTGGTATATTTTCCCATTATTACCAAATTTTTTAAAGCTTTATTACCAAATGTAAAATTGTAAAAACGCCCAAAAAAGTTGTTATAGGAAATGCCAAACATTTTTAGTGAAGCACTGCCGAAAAAAAAGAAAAAAACAAACATCACTCTGTTGTTGGTATATTTTCCCATTATTACCAAATTTTTTAAAGATTTATTACCAAATGTAAGATTGTAAAAACTTTTAAAGGTTTTTATAATAATAATACAATAGTTGATTAAATATAGAGTCTTAGCAGGATTAGATGGACAATACAAGGAATAAGATATATTTAAGCGGTTGTAGCGTAGTGGTTAGAACTCTGGCTAAGAACTATCCAGAGTTCTTGCCTCTAGAGGTACTAGGTTCGATGCCAGATTCGATGATCAAACCTAATAAATAACACGGATAAGGAAAAAGATGTGAACTTTCAGGTTAAATGCTCTTCCGCGATGATATGTGACAAGGCTATAACTTACAGGGTAAGGTCTTCTTAAAGCACCTTAACAAATAACTTTTGAGATACCAGCCCATTATTCTAATTAGTTACAGTATTTGGAGTCATAAAACTTACTTTAGTACTTCTTATTGTCATGATTTAATGATATTTTTACTTTTAATTCTTTTACTGTCAGTAAACCGAGCCTCTGTAGATTATTTTAAAAATCTAGCTCAACCATTTCGCACTCGTTATAGAAAAGGGATTTTTCTATAACGAAATTTTTGCCAAAAATGAGAAATTTGGACGGTAAAAACTATGGAATATTGTCCATGTTATCTTAAAGTATTATGCTTTGATTATTTACAACTAATGAGTTATGAATAATTTAAAAAAAGGTGTATATGCCATCGTGTTGAAAACCATTATAGAAAAGAGACTTATCGGACAATACGAATTTTTTGGAGATGTAACCCTTTTCTAAAAAATCATCAGCTTTTTCGTTGTTGTTGTGCACAACAACAACAACGAAAAAGCTGATGATTTGGCTGATGATTCTGGTAACACATAAAACTCTGAGTAGTAATATTATATTATAAATATTTGTACTTTAGCTAATTCCTGAAACTGGTTGTAACAATAAAATATATAAACAATATAAATAATATATATATAAAAGCTTTTAAAACAAATATATTACTAAAATATATATCTAAACTCGTATGTATGGAAAACATTTTGAATATCCAGAAAAACTAAAAGTTGAGAAAAATATCCGGTAAAAGATAATTCTTTTGAGAGTGGATACATTTGTCGCAATTCTTATCGAACAATTACATTGCATATATTAAAATATCATCGTTCGTAACATTAATTCATATTCATCTCTTATTTAAAATTTTCTCCCCAAAATATTTAAATCTGTTAGCAACGTCTAGTTTTTCATTAATAAGCTTTTAATTGGCATTAAATTAGGAGTTTAAAAATTTTTTATTATGATTTCTCCTCATTATTTATGGAAATATGGGAAAATCAGTTTAAATTTCAGCCCATAAAGTCGCGGCTATTAAAATGGTCACTTTACCCTATAGTGTACAGGCGCACATCCGGCATTTCCTTAACTAACTAATTATGAAAAAGTCATATCCGGTACAATTTTAATTAATTCGTTAAGCCGAAGTATCTTACTCGACTTAGGTAACTTTTATTTTTAATGTGTTTATAAAAGAAAATAAATAACTTACAAAAACTTTTAAAAATGAAAACTATATACAATATATCTATATAATATAATATATATACATAGATCTATATTAGTTCGTTTGAAAGTATATATTTGGTTTGAGCTAAATAGAGACTAGCTCTTCAAATAAGCCAGAAAACAACTCGATTTGTTTTTACGTATTAAATTATACGCATATATTGTAAGAGATAAATCGTATTACACGAGAGAAAATTTTGAACAAGAAAAAAATTAACATGAATCGTCATTATACTTTTAACAGAGAACAATAAAAATGTTCCGTTTATTTACCGACAGTAACAGGAGAAGTTGTACTTATGTCCGTAGAGGTACGCCGTAGAGTATTAAAACCAGGTAAAGATTTTCGAGATCTAAACAAACAATATTATAAGAAATGGACGGTTGAATTATTATATAAACAATTATTATAAATAACACTGACCTTGCAAGTTGTGAAACATCTGACACTCCATTGGTCACCACAGTAGAATGACTAATCGAAAGGCCATTTGAAATACTAAGTTTATTAGCTCGTACAGAACTAACTGGTTGAACATGAAAAGAGTTTATTTTAACTTTGGCTTGGGGTGGTAAGTTTTTATGCGCAACAGGGGTTTGCTGTATAGAATTGTTTAAACTTCGAGATACAACAGGTTGAGACGTTACAACAATAAGTTGTGAAGTTCTATTTGAGTTATCAGACTTTTCATTTAACTTATTAGAGGATTTTTGACTAACAGTACAATTATTAATTACTACAGTTTTGGGAATAGAAGCTACCGAAGATAAAGGAAAATTTAGTTGATATACTGACGAAGCAGGCGCAACCGAAGGTGATTTTAATGGAGACAGCACATTTGTTGCTGGGATTTGTCCAGATGATGAATTAGCAGGAAGATATGCTGTGTTCTCATTTTTAACTTTCTTAAGAAATATATGTTTAGAATCAGAATTTTTCACTAAATTTGAAGCGATAGATTCCAAAAATAAACGATTGTTAACAGATAAAGATTGCATCGTTTTAATCTTTGTAGAGTATGGATGCAGTCGTAACCGAGATGGCTGATAACTGGTGCTTTTATCTAATTTGACACATGGTGTCATTGATTTAGTTTTTACTAATGTACTTTTATGAATCCATTGATTTAAACATTTACTACTAACTGGTTCTGGTTCAGTTATAATATTATCACTGTCACTATCAGATAAATCCAGTGGAGCCTTGAAATGTGGCCTAAAAGATAAATATGATAATTAATTAGAAAGATAACAGGTAGTAACTAAACAATAATTAACAAAAAATGTATAAAAGCTATAGTTCAATATAAGGAAATACTTTCTCTATAAACATCTATGATATAACTTTTATTAATTTTTCAAATAATATGAATTAAATTAAAACTTAAATGACAATACACACTAAAACTGGATTTCAAGAAACTGGATTTCATGTGATATCTATATGATTTTTAAACATGCTGAGAGTGAATCAAAAAGAAGGTTAAAAAAAAAAGACAAATAAAAAAGATAAAAATCATATTTGATCATAAAGATGACACATATATATTTAATATATATATTTGTGTGGCAAATAATGTATAACATTTTTAATATGCAAAATACATACAGGTCATATCATGAATATGCAATTTCATTACTAGGTTAACTTCTCAGCAAAATAAGACTTTAAAATAAACTTACCATGGCGGTACTCTATCTTCAATTGAATCTATTTTTATGTTATTATTTTTAACTTCAACAGTTGATTTATTTAAGTAATCATCATAAGGACTATATGCACGGTCAAACAAAATTCTCCCTCCTCTGCCTACTCTACGCCTTGCAAAACCAATAAAGTGATAGGATTTATTAACTGAAGTAGAACTGTAACAAAACCTTGAATCACCACATCCTCCTTCAACTGGATGAGTCCATGGCCAATTACCCATAAAATCATATTGAGGCTATGTAAGAAACATAAGAAACAATGAAATAAAAGCAAATATTAGCAAACATAAAAAAAAACAAAAACTTACAGCATGGTAACTAACACCCTTTTCGCGTTTAAAAGTATACTTTCCATCTGGACAATCATTTGATATTGAATCAATGTCACGAGTTTGTGAGACCTACAGTTAATTGTAAACTTTTTTGCACAAACAAAATAAAAAAACTATTAAAAAAAAAAAAAAATTAACCATAAAATTTAAATATTTATTTACAAAAGTCAAAAAATAATTAAAACCGTTTGAGAAGAGTTTTCAGGTTGTTGAATACTTTCTGTTGACATAAAAGCAGCTGACTAAATATCAACAAATATTTTAAAATTTTCTAAATTAATAAAAATAAAATAAAAATCAAAATAAGCTGAAATAATTTATCACCTGTTGTTGCATAGCTGAGCGTTGTTTAAATAACTTATGACGTCTCCTTAAACAAAATAAAAATAACATTGACATAAGTATGTCTGAATACTGATAACATAAAATATAAAAATAGTTAAAAACTAACCGTGCTTCGTCAGCTGTTAAATCTTTCTTGATCTTTTCGTCCTTTAGTAAAATTTGTTATATCAATACATACATTTGCAGAAAAAAATAAATACATTAAACAATAAGCTAAAAGAACATTTTAAAAAGAAATCAGTCAATCAAAAATTTTATTTTAAATTTTTCAAGACCCACACAAACATAGAGAAACAACATTTTGCAAACTAATATATATTACATCTCTCAATATGAGACCATATAATTTTTAATCTTTGACCCGTGTTAAAAAATTAGTAATTTGGTTACTTTGTTTGACAATAAAATTGCATTTTGCAATATTTGGAAATCATGCATAAATTACAAAATTATTTAACTTTAAACAAGGAAAAAATAGAACAGAAATATAATAGAAAATAAAAATATTAATAGAAATAGAAAATAAAAAAAAAGAATAGAAAATAAAAAATAGAATAGAGAAGCAAACTTTTTAAAAATACTTTTATGTACAGAAATTTGATGACACTTAAATCTTGGAGTTTTGTAATTCTGGTATTCTTGAAACAAAAAACTTAAAATAAATATATTATAAATTATAAAATTAATACAACCTAAGAGAGTAACAATGTAAATTTTTTTTAATCTTAAAAAAACAAACAAGTGATACTCACAATTCCTTGCTGTTTATTAAAATGAGGCTGTTGTTGCTCTTGGCGCTTTAGAATATCATAACATTGGAACAGTAAATCACCTTGAAAATCTTTATTTGAATATCTAAATCATATTTGCTAGTTTTCATCATTTATGCACAAAATGAAAACATCACAAATTGATATTACAAATAGTTTATTCGAAAACCTTGTTTCAAGAATTTTCATTGTTGTTTTAAGCAAATCACGTTTTTTCTCCTCTCGCAGCTTTACCATCTCCATTAACAGACTAAAAATAAAAAGTTAAAACAATAAAAGTTTGAACAGAATGCCAGAATATCTAAATGCCAAAAAGTTCTATATATATATATATATATATATATATATATATATATATATATATATATATATATATATATATATATATATATATATATATATATATATATATATAATTATTATAATTTTATATTTATTAATGTACTTTAAAAATATATAATACAAAAAAAAAATTAGAATGTTGACAGTGATGTCGGCTCTGAGCAAAAAAAAATTTAGAAGTAGTACTAATTCTTCCATGATTGCGGATTCTTGCTTATTATAACTCTAGCACATTAACAATGCTGAAGCAGTAAAAAAATTGTTTTGAAATAACTTCAAAGCACTATTAGAAATATTACTGAGGATGTTGTATATTGACTCTGCAACTTTTTAAAATAAACCATGAATATATTATTGCGATCTTGAAATCAAAGCCTTATTGTCCCAACAGAAATATCCAGGAGAACCAAGAAAAAGAAGTATCCAGGAAACTGAAAAAGAACAACATGACAAGTTCAATTAAATTTCATGGTTTTGATTACTGATTTTTTTTTATTCTGTGATGTAGTGCAATGGATGTTGTTACCACAAGGTTGTACAATTAATAAGGAATATTCCCCTAAAATTATATGCTATTCGAGGGGAGCAATACAAAAAAACATCAAGAATAGTGGAAAAACAAAACATGGCTTTTGCCAACAAAAGCAAATCAAAAACCATGGCTAAGCTACAATTTTAACTAATTTTAACTTTTAATTTTAAGATTTGGCCTCCTGCAACTTTTTCTTGTTCCCTAAACTAAAGAGACCTCTAAAAGGATGGTGATTTTTTAGAGATAGAGGAGATGAATACTGAATGGCTGGAAAAACTCAAGGCCATAATAAAAACCAATTATCAAAATTTCTTGATTACAAAAATTTCTGTCACAAGTGTTTTATATCTATATATAGCTTGGCACAAAAGTTAGAATAAAGGTTCGACAAATCTATAAATGTGCAAAAGTTTAGCATAAAGTTGACAGAAAAACAAATGCTGCATTTGCCGATTTTTCTTTCAAACATTTGTTTAATATTTTGAAAAATAAATGCAGCTTTTATAAATTTTATTATGAATATAAATAAAACATTAGTTTTGTTAATTTTATCTTAATTATTTTATATAAAACGTTTTTTTATCAATTTTAATTGTTTAGATTAAAATTAATAAAAAAATCTAGAATCTAGAACATTTTTTTTGCCATTTTGTTTTATAAAGAGTTTATATAAAACATTTTTCCCGGTTGTATTTTATATTGAATTTAAATAAAGCATTGATTTGCATTTTTTCATTTATTTAAAACAGCTAATAAAATTAAGTTTTAAAACTGCGCATGTCAATTTAATGTGGTAAATTACAAACAGTAAAGAGTGAAGATGTTGCAAATAAATAAACCTTATACATGTCTATACGTAAATATTTTTAAAAAGCACCCATTAAATAGATATTATCTTATAAAAAAAAAATAAAATGGTCTTCTCCGTTTAAAATATAATGCCAGTGCACAAAAAAAGTGCTGGTAGGATGGTCATTTTTAGGCTTACGCTCACGATTTTAAAATTTCATCTTCACTTGCTATTTAAATTAAAATGAAAATGGTGAAAAGAATGCTTTGAAATAAAAAATCGGCAAAACGAACGCTTTATTTAAAATCTAGATAAAATAAAAATTAAATCGACAACAAAAAACAACATTTTATTTTAATATTAAACAAAAACCCACGTCCCTGGTAGTACCGCGCTCAACTCGTTTCTCCGCGCAGCAGCCTTGTTCATCAAGGTTAGTGTTTCGGAGTTATAGAGTTGAGAGGGTTATAACCACAAATAAGTAGTCTCCTCGGCCTTGAGGAGGTAAATTAAATTAAAAAAAAAAAAAACAAAAAAAAAAACAATGAAGATGGAATGACAAATATTTTATTCAAATTCTAAATAAAATAGTTAAAATTATTACAGAAAAAAAAATTCTAAAATGATTAAGTAAAAAAAATTAAAAAATAAAAATGGCAAAACAAACTTTTTTTTTTAAATTCTGAACAAATTATTTAAAAAATACTACATTAAAATGAAAGTTTTATTTAAATGAGTTTTTTTTTTTTTTTTTTTAATTATTTCATTTAGAATTTAATTAAATTCCAAATAAATTAACTAAAACAAAATTTAATTTAATTCTAAATTAAATAATTAAGATATAACCTATAAAATAAATATTTTTATTAAAAAAAAAAACTGTTTCATCCAATCTTGATCATCAATTCTTGATAAAACAATTAAAATAAGACAGAAAAACAAAACGCTATATTAATTCAAAATAAAACAATTAAAATAAAATCTGCAAAACTGTTTAATTTAAACTCCTATTAAAATGGTAAAATGTTTATTTTGAAAGAAAAGTTGACTTTGTTTCTCTCAATATTATGCTGAATGTTTGCATTTAGTTGTTTTGTCATACCCTGTTTCTAAATTTTGTGCTGACCTGACACAGTTTTAGGTCAGCAATTTTTTCCCACCTTACTTTTTTTAATTCTGAAAAATATAATTCTATATATACACATCAGTGTTTACTTAATTTTAAACTATATGTATATGCAAAATTTAAATGTAAAAAATTACCATGCTCTATTTAATTCACGTCGTAAGCTCAGCATTTTTTCATACGATGCTTCGTCATTTTTACGATTCTAGAGAATTAAATTGTAAAAAAAAATATATGAAAATAACATAATTTCCTATTATAAACTTCTATAACGAACTGTATCCAGAAAAGTATGAACTGATATGATACTAATCAATCAATCAACTCCAAAATGATATGATACCAATCAATTTGAAAATACTAAAATTTGCTACTGATTATATCAATAAAATAACCAAACTTTATATTAATTAGTATATTATATTTATGAAATATTATTTCTACAAAATGCCATGGTAAAAATCAAAAGTTTGTATAAATCAAAGATAATATAAAAATACAAAAACAAACTTTTCGAGTTTGCATTTTTTCTATTCTTCTTCTAAATGCAACATAAGGATCATGCAAAGCACTACCATCTTTTTTTTCAGTACGCACAGTAGGAGTCAAGCAAGGTACAGTAGCTTTTATTTTTTTTGGCTTCCAATAATCAAATAGCTGAGTAACAAGTCCAACATCTTTTTTAAGAAGAGCCTTTGCATCACTGAGGAGAAAAAGCTAAAAAATAAAACATTTTAATAGATTTATATAAAAGGGGTATATAGGTGGTGGGAAATATGTAACATGAATAACTCAAGCTTATTTTGAAAAAACTTAAAATAAGTTATATTGGCCTTTGAAAGCTTATACAAAGGGTTAGATGTTTTATCTGTTTTTAATAAATTGTTAAGTTCAATTATTTTGATGGTTATATCTCTAATTAGCCTTTAGCTCTTTATCTCCAATTTTAGCCTTCAATTACTTTTTACTAATACTAGTTTGATATTATTAAAAATTTTATTTATTGATTTTAGAGCAGTTAAAATCAAGTCAAGAATGAAAATTAAAATTAAAAAGACCAAAATTAATCTAATTATGCTAAGGTTCAATGTGTTAAGCATCAGCTAAGGATTTGGGATGGGATAACAACCATTTTTTCTATTACTCTTTGTTTCTTTCTTTTTTTTTTAATAAAAAAGCTGAATGGAATAAAGTCTGCAAAAAAAGTCTGCTAATGTGTACCTATATACACTATAGTGTGTGTGTGTATATATATATATATATATATATATATATATATATATATATATATATATATATATATATATATATATATATATATATATATATATATATATATATATACATATATATATATATATATATATACATATATATATATATATATATATATATATATATATATATATATATATATATATATATATATATATATATATATATATATATTTATATATATACACACATGCACACAAACACACACACATATTTAAAAAAATCTTACATCAATTCTAGAGCCTGAGCTATTTTCTAAAATATCAATCATTTTTTCAAATTCTAGCGGAGTAATCTTCTCATTATTAGGTTTATCTTTATTATAAGCTTCAATCCATTCCAGATCATCATCATCACAGTCATATTCAGGTAATTCATCTTCTAATGTGAAAGCTGTTAAGAAATAATAATACATTTAGTTTTAAAAATAAAAATTCACAATAAAATTCTCTACACTAATATACATTTTTTTGATTAGAGTAAATTATATTATTTAGAAATTAATAAAATAATTTAAAAAACACCACAAACAAAGGCAAAAAATTCATATCTCAGCATCATTTTTAAAAAACAACTCATTAACTCTAAAAAAAGTATCAAGATACTTGTTATTAAAAAAAAACAAAACATTAGGACAGTAAGGTTATGGCTGATTGGATAGTTGAACACTAATTAAATGTATAATGAAAAATCACCTTGAACATGAATAAACTGCTTTGGCATTTGTACATTAGGACGTTTGAGTTGTTCATAATCAGCTTGATACAGGACAGCATCAGGAGTAGGAATAATAAGACGCTGAGCTTCTCCATATATCTGTTGAGCAGATATTGCTCGTTGTAAATGATGTTCCTAAAACAATTGAAACTTCAAGTTTTAATCATAACAATATAACCTCCCCTCTACCTAAACAAAATGTGGGTAAAAGATGTAAAAATTCTCAAGCAACAATGTAGAAAAATGTATATTAAATTTTAGTAAACTGTAAAAGCTCATTTAGTATGCAAAATGTACTCCATAACTCTTTTAAAAATGTGATGGGAGTCAAACTTATTTCTTAGAGATATGTCTAGTGGCCCCCTTAAGGCCTCTATAGTCAAGACTTGGGGAGGTAAATGTGTATATATATGCATATTTAAATGATAAATAACATTATGATTGATTATATATTATTTTTATTATTTAATAGTGATAATTCGGCTTATATATCTAAAGTGATTTTTTGGCTTCTGTATCTTAAGTGATTTCCTGCTTAGACTCTTCTACAGCTTGTGGCCCAGACAACATACCTGTTAAAATCTTGCAGAAGTGTTCTCCTAAGCTGTCGTCTATCCATTCAAAACTATTCAACAAGTGCATATCAGAGTCTTATTTTCCAACCTGCTGGAAAGCAGCATCTGTTATCTCTATTTTTAAAAATTCTGGAGAGTGATTCGATTTGTCTAACTACCGTCCCATTAGTCTTCTTCCTATCATAAGCAAGGTTTTTGAATCTTTAATTAAAAAACACTTAAACTCTCATCTTGAATCTAATAACTTAATTTCTGATTATCAATGTGGATTTCGATCTTCTCATTCTACGACTGATTTGCTAACAGTAATAACCGATAGGTGCATTAGATAAAGGCGGAGAGGTTAAGCCCATCACTCTTGACATTTCTTAAGCGTTTGATAAAGTTTGGCATAAGCTTTCTTCTTACGGTGTATCTGGAAACATTTTTAAGATTATCGAATCCTTCCTATCCAATCGTAGTATAAAAGTTGTCCTTGATAAACAGCACTCTTCTTTTTATTCTGTAACCTCAGGGGTTCCTTAAGGTTCAATCCTTGGCCCTATACTCTTTTTAATTTACATTAACGATCTTCCAGATATTCTAACATCTAAGGTAGCATTGTTCGCTGATGATACTACCATTTACTCTTGGAGAGGACATTTGAGCTTGAAAAGGACTTCATTTCTGCTACAGCATGGGGCTCACAGTGGCCGGTGAACTTTAATTCAGATAAAACTCAATTATTTCAGCTAATCGTTATTGCAATAATTTAGATCTTCCTATATTTATGAACGGTAATGTATTTGATGAGTCATCTACCCATCATCTTCTAGGATTAACTCTTACTTCTGATCTTTCTTGGAAACCATATATCAAATTTGTTGCAAAATTAGCATATGCTAAAGTTGCATCTCTTTATTGAGCTTGATACTTTCTTACTCTGGATTCTATCTCTATAAATCTCAAATCCGACCTTGTATGGAATACTCTTGCCATATCTGGGGCGGATCTTCTAATGATGCCCTTTCTCTTTTAGACAAGGTGCAAAAATAAATTGTAAACATAGTTGGACCTGCTCTTGCAACCAACCTTCAACTATTATCACATCGTCATAATGTCGCTTCTCTTTCTCTTTTCTACAAATACTATATCGGCACTGCTCTAAAGAGCTAGTGTTTCTTATGCCATCTACTAAAATAGCTTAAAGAGTGTCTAATGTTATGACTGCCGCTCTTGTGGAATTGCCCATATATATATATATATATATATATATATATATATATATATATATATATATATATATATATATATATATATATATATATAAATATATATATATATATATATATATATATATATATATATATATATATATATATATTTGATTGTCTATTTTTTAATTAGTTTGAATGCTGATAACGTTTTTTATTTGTCACAAACAAAAAATCATAAGAATTTAAAATGAATTACAGCAAAAAAGTGTCTAAATATTTTTATATTTTTTTCAAATTGTTTTTATTTGGTGACCGGGGACTTGGTGCCAGGTACCTGTCCTTGGACCCGGTTTTTACCACTGCATACCCGAAATCAAAGACCCGTCATATACTGGTTTCGGCACACCTCTAATAAGAGTGAAAAACAAATTAATTTAAAATTCAACTTAAAATTTAAATTTATTCAATATAGATTAAAATATATAAATGGTTCTGGATTATTGCTTGAAAACTTGTACAATTTTTGTTCTAATATATTTTGCAAGAAATAAGTCAACGAAAAAAAGAAGAAAAAAACTATAAGTTCAAAACAAAAGTAAAAACTTATGTTCAACAAATATATAGAAATTTAATAGAAAATAGAATTTAATAGAATAGAAAATTGCCAAGATTTTTAAACATTTTTGTTTTAAAATATGTTTTATTAACTAGCAATACTTCTTTCCAAAATATCTCAATAATTTTCAACTTATTAAAATATAGGGACTTTTTGTTTAAGACTTAAGTGGTTTAAATTACTTTACTAATGAAGAGATACCATTACATTGTAATCATTGTTATCAATAACTTGATTTATTTGAAAAGGTGATTTACAGCGCTCGAAATAGTTTTTAAAAGCTTACCGATCAAATGTAATTTTTTCACAAAAAACAGGTTATTTTCCCTTGGATTTTTCAAAATGTCCCTAAAAAAAGCAGATCATTGATCGACCATTATTTTGAGCGCAGGACTTATGCTACTTTCAAAATAAACAGCTTATATTTAGTCAAGCATTTAGAAAATCATTACTTTATTTATAAGCTACAGTATATTAACAGAAGAAAAATATAAACAATAAAAAACTAAAACTTTAACTGCTGTTAAAACCCCATCTCAATTCTTTTACTTTATGACACTTTAAGAGATTTAGGTCAGCACTTGTATGCCACAGTAAATCTGCTTTAAACTCAGCATCACTGAATGCTGACCTAAAAACCAAAATGTTTTTGAAGACTGCATGTTGAGTTATTAAGCATGATAGAACAAAGATTATCAGGTCAATATTTTTTTATATAGACTTTGAAACCTATTTAAAACATTATTATAGCCAATTTCTTTATGAGATCGAATCAGAGAACTTTGAAGCAAAATTTGAAAAACATAAACTTCATTAACAAAGACGTCTGATTGTTTAATATGATTTATATTATTATATATATTATTTTGTTTATACAACAAATTCAAATTTTGTTATAATTTTTCATCTTGCTCATACATAATTCAAAAAATTCTTTAGTTCTAATTTGACAGTCTAACATAATATATCAATTTTTCAATCATATTAACATTTTTTTTTTATATTCAAAAGTAGTTTTTATCTCAAAATTTAAGTTCTTTATTTATCCAAAGATAGCCATTCCAGAGGATTTTTTTTAAACATTTATTTAAACATTTTAAACATTAACATAGTTGTATAGAGCTTAAAAAGACTTAAGCAATGAGGGGTTTTCAACTTTAGAAGTTAATTGGATCCAAAGTTATTGCAAAATTTTGATTTTTGCGCTTGATTTTTGATTGCAACATCAAAAATCAAGCGCAAAAATCAAAACAAACATTATGCAGAGGAATAAAAACATTATAAACAAAATTCTCAAGTACCATTTCTTCAAGAAAACATAAATAAATACTTCATTTAAATAGAGGAAAGACTGCACTTGTTTTTTTTCCGCAGGGAACCTTTATAAAAAAAAGTTTTTTTTTTAAATAAACCGACCATAAAGCTTTTAAAGGCTGAGAACTTAGAATTTATGTATAAATGTTAAAAAGGTTCCCAAGTTCATTAGATTTCTTATCCTTTTTTTAATCTATAAGGAAATTTTCAAACAAATTTGATGCGTTTGGGTACTTAGGAAATCTTACCTTCAAAAACTACTTTTAAAAAATATGTTCTGCAGCAAGTTTTTCCTATCAATTGTGGTCTGAAGACATGAATAATATATAAAAGCCATATTAAATAGTACATATTAAAAAAGTACATATATAGTACATATTAATAAAAGAACATAGTACATATTAAAAAAAGATATTAAAGAGTAAAGTTCATGAAAATTAGATTTTTTTATCAAAAATCAAATGTTTTTTGTTGCGCTCTGGAATCGCTATCAAAGAGTAGTTGCACTTCTAATTTTTGAAATATTATTTACTATGCTTGAGTAAAAAATCAATTCATCAAACTTGACAATTTTCTTACAATTGTACCCTATCAAGTTTTGAATTTTATTGTCAAAATTTAATTTTGTAAACAATCAACACAATAGTTATTGTATTTTAAATTTAAAGTTTTTGATAATGACAAAAAATCTGATTGAATGTCCTTTAAGAAAAATTGAAATTAGATCATTTTGAAATGAAAAAAAAAAAAAAAAAATGAATTCAAGTTTTTGTTAAAACAGCAAATGATTAATGATTTTTATTTTAGTTGTAATGATTTTCACACCTATATTGCTATGATGTCAACATTGAAATATCAGCCTAATTTGTATAGTATATATGGGGAGAGAGAGAGAGGGGGGGGGGGGAATGTGGCAGAAAAATACAAACTGAAATCAGTAACAATGAGCATTATGTATCAATTTTGAAACGTTAGTTAGCAATGTTAGTACTTTATAATTACAAGTTTTTAAAATAAAATTAGAAAAAAAAAATACAACTATAAAATTCTTTAATATGATATTTCGAATAAAAAAAAATTAAAATACTGAAGATTTCTTTATAAATTGATTTTTATCTATAAAAAATTGAAATAAATGCGATGTTAAAATATATATATAAAGAAAAAATTATTAATAGCAGCGCATAAATTAAAATAAATGTAATCTTGAAACAAAAAATACAATTAACTTTTTAATAACATAGCGAAAATTCTTATAACACTAGTTAAAACGTGATTATCTAGAATTATCATAATTAACTCCCGCTAATTATGCTAAAAATATTCGGTCTAGCATGAATACAAAAAAAATAATAAATTATGCGAATATTTGCATAATTTATTCTTAAAGCTTCCCTCGGCCTTCTTGTCCAAATAAAAAGAAAAAAAATGTTGTCGAAATTTATTTAAACAATACAAGATTTACTAACCGTTTCTTCTTCTTTTTCCATTCCTGTAGGCATTTGAGGTACAACTCTATTAACCGAAGTGACATCTGGAAGATCTGGAAGATCTTCTTCATGATAGACTGGTAAAGTCTTATTAGCATCAAGTGCTCGTGCTCGAAACGACAACTTATTCATAGCGGCGTCCAATCTTTTCAGATAAGAAACTTTCAAGGGATTTAAACCCAGCTTAAACCCGTTTATTGCTTTTAAAATTTCAAAAATTGATACATACTTAAGTAAAAAACGCAGCCATATCGCCACAATCCAAAATAACCACATTAAACATGTAGAACTTGGTTTGCAAATAAATCGCTCTTTACGTAATTTTTCGTTAAAAAATGGCGGACACAAAGAACACGGTACGACGTAATCAACAGAATTTTTTAGAATGTAAACGCGCATGCTCAAAAGCAAGTTTATTCATATTAGCACCACGTGGTTCCCGCCGGTATATGGTTGAATCACTTAAAACACGTAAAAAATTTTGACTACAATATTTCGTAATGAAAAGAAAAAGAAATTTTTCTAGTAATTAAAAATTACTAAACGCATTAAAGTAAAGTTTTCCTTTAACTTAAAATTAATCATTATATAAATTTCAAATCATATATGGATCATATTTTAAAACTTTAGAATTTTAAATAACAAATATATTACATTTTCTACACACAAATAAATGTCAATAAATAAGCCGCAATAAAATTTTTTATAAAATTCGGCGATCAATTAAAATCTGAAAAACAAAAACAGCAGACGTTACAAAAATTATAAACTCTAAAAACTTTTTAATGTTTATTTGTTTACAACCAGGAGTTTTCTTTAATAAAAAAAAAAGGGTCAAATGAGTTATTCTCAACATCGCACTATCCTAAGTAAACCAATATTCTGTCATTTTCAACTTTAATATAATTTAGCAACATAAACTTGCTCTTAAATAGATCGGTTTTTTATTTTTCATCTTTATTACTATCTTTATTATTCGGATGGCATGACCTCCCATAAGTTTTTCATTGTCACTCCGTCAGAAAGTCTTTCAACGGCAAGGCCAATATCTTGATTGAAAAATGGTTCTTTTTCGTTATCCTGTATCAAACAAAAGGTATAAATCTTTAAAAATTATTTTTTACTTTTTTGAACAAAAGTTTACTATATACTTTTAAAGCAAATATAAAAATCTTAACCGAAAATATATAGGCATGCTTTTGTCAATTTATTAATAATAAAAAAAAGCACTTTATATGAATTCGAAATTTGTTTACAGGAGTAAACAAATTCCGAATACGTCTAAATATTTAGTAATTATAATGTTCGTCACATACAAAATATTTCTGAAACTGCCAATAAACTATATTAACAAAATAAGATCAAAAAATAATGTAAATGTGAAAATGATAAAACGTGTAAAATAATAATTTTAAAAAAAAATACTTGAAAATAAAAAGAGATCAGAAACTAAGAATAACCTAAGAATAACAAAAAATCTACTCTTTCAAAAGATTAGATAGCTTTAAACTTCATTTCGTCATCGATTACATCATTTCAAATCAATTACATACTACAATCTGATAACATTGTAATCTTGTTTCAAATAAATTTAGATCTATCTAAATTTATTTCTCGTCTATGATACTCTTAGTAATTTAGATTCTTTTACTATTTATATAAAAATTTAGAATGTTTCCCAGAATCATAAGTTCGGGATTTATTTTCTGCTAGACAGTCAATAAATTTTCATTATGTAATATCATTTGCACACATCTTCTCTAAAATAGGAACACTTGAACACTTTTATATATATTTTAATCTAAACGCAATAAGCTCACTTTATATGATGCAAAATATAAATTAAAAAGTATAATAAAAATAAAAATTTCAAAACTTTGAAAACCATTAAAAAAAAAATTTTTTTTAAACATATTATTTAATTTTTATAGGGTCAGTCGATTTTTACTTAAAAGAAACTTTTTTGAAATTCATTTCCAAGGGTGCTTCATTGAAAACAACTATTTTAATGTTTGTTTCACTATGTTAACAAAAGATATCTTTACATTTAAGGATTAATCAAGCCTTTTTTCATCAAGACTATTACTGGTTTCATTATAATTAGTTTTCAGTTTTATTATTAAAAATTATAATATTACTGAGTACCAGAAACATTTTATGTTACTTTTTTTTAGTAACATAAAATTGAAGAACTGTAAAATGATTGCTTTAATATCACTATGCGGTTGTAGACTTGGATGGCGTGATACTTCTATGATAATCAAGAGAGCGTTTTGATTACGCTCCAAAATTTGTTACAACTTGAAAATATTCAAATTTAATCGTAGCAATATAAAAATATAAAGAGTAAACTATAAACAACAAATTAACTAATGTGTTATTCAAAACAAATTTGTTTGTTTACCAGGAAAAAAACTCATTTTAAAAATAGACGTATTTCTTCGATGATAGTTTTAGGAAACGAAAATGTCATAAAACACTTCTAAATTAGTTCTGTGGAGATCAAAAATAATATTTTGTTGTATGTTAAAAAACATATTTAGTTATTAATTTCATTATATACATACATATATACATATTATTTTATTAGTGTTGCCTCACTTATTCAATTGGTTCCAATTCAATTAAATTAGAACAAAGTTTAGCATAAACAATGTACATTTTTAAATTTTAATTTTACAAAATTCATAAGGGGTCGTCCATTAAGTACGTACACAGGTATAGTGGAGGGGGTTACCCAAAAACGTACGAATGCATACAAGGAGGGTGGGTAGGGGTGTTTTATATTAAAAACAGCGAGTACGTACGCAGTATGACTATCTCTCGTATTTCTTTTTTTAAACTAATGCATTTAATTTCACGAATTTAAAAAATCAATATTATGTTATGCAACATAGATATATCGTATTAACTAAAAGTTTTTTTGATTTTAATAGTTTTAAAAATGCGTTGTGGAAGGGATGTTTTGAATTTGTAATGATGCGTACGTAAGCTGAGGGGGAATGGTCGTTGAAAGCATACAAGTGCGTAAAAGGTGGAGGAAGAGTCCTAAATTAGTGGCTTTACTGCGTATGTACTTTATAGATGCTCCCTAACATAAAAAAGTTGCGTAAAAAAAATTAAAATAAAATCTTACAGTATGACTGTCAGCAAAGTAGGCCTAAAAAATAAAATAAAACTTAAGCTAAAATATTTCAAAACTTGAACTTTACCGAAAAATAATGTGTCATCAATGTTATATTTTATTTGTTTCAAAACAAGAGCATTAGTAGTCACAGATTTGACAATTTAAGAGACATCTTAAACTCTTCAAGTGAGGAATTCAAATACACAAGTTAAAAGCTCATATTTAATAACAAAATACCCAGAAATAAACATTAAATAATTAAATAAAAGGTACTTACCCCAGCAAAAAGTTAGGGTGTGCGGTAAACTTATTTTAAAGTGAAATTTCAAATTAGATTATATATAATATAAATAACGAATACTTTGGGTATTGCTGTTATAACTGGGTATATTTTACTGCATAATAATTGGAGATATTTTGCTGTAATATAAACCTAATTAACTTTTTTTTTCACTGTTGTGTTTTGAAGTATTTTTATACAGAAAGGTAATTGAAACATTTTTTGTGTTAAATGTTGTAACGTTTATAAAATAATTGTTATGCACGTTGAAATAATTTATAGAATTTTTGTCTTAGAATTGAAATTTAAAGAAAAGTATATATTTTATGTTTTGATTGAAGAAAAATGGTTAAAAAAGCAGAGCTGAGTGTAGAAAAACAAGCTGTTATTGTTGCATTAGACAAGAAAGGTTATTTAACAAGGAAAGTTAGTTCAAAACCAAATGTTTTTTAAAATGCAGTCATAAATTTTAAGAAACATATGCATGAAACACGCAATGAAATGGAAATGCAGGCATTTCCATTTCATTGCGTGATTTTTTATTTTTCTTTGTTTTTGCAATTGAAAAATATTTTTATCATATTTTAGGCTACCTGATTAATTTAAATGTATATACTTTTATAACTTTAATTTTTTTGTGTAAATGTTGCAGGAGTTTGAAAAATATACAATAATTTTTAAAACGCTAGACTTAAGCTAGAAATATCTGATAACTGCTGTTTCTCATCGAAAATATATTGAATGAGTTGTAGAAGTATACAATTTCATTTGAAATACTCACAATCAATTTATTTTCATAAAAATAACTACATGAAACTAACAAATTCGCAATTTCTGGGCGTGACTTCCGTGCGCGATCATTCATGAACTGCTTTTAAACAATTGCTGTAACTCTATGATACATAGTGCAATTCTGAAACTTTCTGGAAATCTTTTAAAATGTTTAAAATATTATCAAAAAAAGAAAGTATACCACTGAAACTTACATGTTACGAAGAAATAAAGTTTACTTATCTAGTAACTAAAATTTAAGTTTTTCTGATCTATGCGTGATTCCTAATGTATACGATTTTTGTTTACAAAATATTTATATATATTATAACTAAATGAGAGTAAATTGGAGATTTTTTATGAAAACAATAGACAAAACATATACGAAATTCCGTGCGTGATTTTTTGGAAATGCTGATGTTTGTTGGTTAATTGGAGAACTCATGATAAAATGCATGATCCCAAGATTCAAGCATGGTGGAAAATAAGTCATGACGTGGGGATGCTTTGCTGGAAACAAATATGATGACCTTGTGCGAATTAAGGGCATTATGGATAAAAAAATACCACAACATTCTTGCTGAAATTATATTGTAGTCAAAGAAAAACAAAAAGAATTAAAATATATGGAATAACCTTCTCAGTTATCTGATTTAAACCTAATTGAGTTGTTGTGGAACGAGTTAGAAATGTGAGAAAAATGCAACTAACCAATCAAAAACACCTTTGAGTATTCATACAGACATTCTAGAATTAAATATCAACTGAATCATTGCAGAAATTGAAGGATGCACAGAGTATATGTTGCTACTATAAAAACAAAAGAAGAATACTTTGAAGAGTTAGAATATTAAAAAAATACATTAAAAGATTTTTTTTAATGTCATCTTATTTTCTCAAAAATATCTTTTATTGTAAAAAATATGAATAATAAAAAATTAAAATATTGGAAAAATCCAGAAAATTGAAACAATGTTTTAAAAAATAAATAGTAAATATACTGTGTGATCTTCAAAACAATCTCCTATTTTGCTAAAAGTATTATTACTTTATTGCAAAGAACATAAATAAATACATACAATAAGAAAAATCTTTTTTGTGTGTGGATATTATCATATCCTTAACAAATAGAGTTGCACCATTATGGAATTCATTGTCAAAAAAAGCTGTCAACACAAAATCATTGATCAAATTTAAAACCATTTATGATAGGCTACAAAAGTAAAAAATCTGAACGAAATAAAATGTATTAAAAAAAACTTCAATTAAAACATGAAAAGGCTGTCAAAGTGTGGGATTCACACTTGCTTATGTTTCCATAAGCTACAGCATTAAATTATAATATAATATAAAATATGAACTCAAACTTTTGACTGGTAGTGTATAAGGTTATAAAGTTAAATAAAAATTTATATAACAAAACTAAATTTAGGATATTTGGCTTTATATTACTTAAAATAATAATTAAAAAAAAAATGCTTACTTAAACTTACAACTTTATATATATACATATATTTATATTTTTTATATATATTATATATATATATATATATATATATATATATATATATATATATATATATATATATATATATATATATATATATATATATATATATATTATAAGAAAACTTTTTATAATATTTTTTTAATAAATTTAATACAATTATTCCTGATACTTTTTTGAGTACACTTATTAATAATATTATATAGGTTATCAGTATTCAACAATATCACATTTTGACAAGAAAAACTGATCAGATGGACCAGGTGGATGCATAAATTTCATTATTATATTATTACATTATTTATTTTTTTACTACTGCAACCCACCAAATTTAATCATACATACATTCATAATATGTACCACTCTGTCAATTCTTCAATCGTGAAACATAAAATAGACTTTTGATTAGTGGTTAATTAAACTGTTGATAAAAAATGAAACTTCACTATTGTTATTATTATTATTATTATTATTATTATTATTATTATTATTATTATTATTATTTAATCAATTCATACTATTATTAAAATATGATTAATATATCAAACTCTTAAGTCTGAATCAAAAATTTATTGATTGGTCGTAAAATAGACTGTTGATAACAAAAAAAATTCAAAGGAAGACTTTTTTAAGAATAAATCAAAAAGTTTCTTCTGAGCACTTCAAATTGTGTATAATAGTATTTCTCTAAAATAATAGTCAAGGCAAGCTTCATTAATCTTTGTTCGACAATTCATTCAGATTTTGAATTTGTGTTCGACAATTCATTCAGATTTTGAATTTGTCTCAAAAGTTCAAAAGAGGCTACCTCTTTGTAAAAACATTTCAAGGTTTGGAGGTAAAGTGATCTAAAGATATTAAAACTAAATATACACTGCACAGCAAAAGTTTCCAGTCACTTAAAGTTTCAACAGTTTTAAGAACATACTTAGTCAAAAATGTGTAAATAAAATTCAGCTGTTCTTTTGTCATCAAAGCATAACTTTGTTGAAGTTATTATAATATATAATTGGATTAATAAATTAACTTAGTAAATATTTTTAAATTGTTGAAAATACCACAATCAACAGTGAGTGATACTATTTGCCGTTTTAAATGTACTGGTACAAATAAAAATAGAGAAAGAACAGGGTGTCCCTGCAAAACATTGAAGACTAAAGACAAGTCAATTATACTCTCATGTAAACAAAATAGACAATTAACAGCCCAAGAAAAAATATCTAACTTTAATGCTGCTCATAGTAAAACTATTTCAGAAAGAACTGTGAGATGCCACTTGAAAACTGTTAGCTTAAATGGTAGAGTAACTGTTCAAAAACCTTTCCTTAATGTAATAAATAGGAAAAAGAGGCTTCAAAGGGCTCTAACACATTTAAATTGGACAGATATAGACTGGTGAAATGTATTGCAGACAGACAAATCCAAATTTTTTGTTTTTGGAACAAATTGATGGGTCTATGTGCAACAAACATCTACTAAAAAATTTCATCCACAATGTATACAGTCTCCTGTCAAACATGGTGGAGGTTCAGTAATGGTGTGGGGCTGTTTTGCTTCTAATCAGGTTGGTAATCTCGTGAAAATAAATGGAATTTTAAATAAGAACGAATATCATAGGATATTATGTAGACATGCTGTGCCTTGTAGAAAGCGTCTAATTGGCCATGGGTTCACCATGCAACAGGATAATGACCCAAAGCACACATCTAAATATTGTACAAACTAATTGCAAAAAAAAAAGCTTGCGGAGAACTCAAAATTATGCATGGTCCCCCAATCCCCTGATCTCAACCCAATAGAGTTACTAAGGGAACAACTGGATCATGAGGTAAAAAAAGAGTGACATCAACATTTGTGGTCAATTTTGAAACAAGTGTGGAATAATGTTTCTCTAATTTATTTGGATAATTTAATCAAACGTATGCCAAAACTTGTTTGTGCTGTAATGAAAGCAAAGGATGGATTTTTCAATGAAAGAAATATATAAATTTTTCTTTGTGTTATATTGCATTAACTTATTATAGTGCATAAACTTGTTATTTTTATCATAGGTTTAAAAACATTGAGTAGTTTGTAATTATTTGTAATGATATTTGGTTAATTGTAATTAGTTAACTTGTTTTTTTATATATTTTTTTTACAAAAAACAGAGTGACTGGAAACTTTTGCCAAGCAGTGTAAGTTTCACTTATTATAGAACTTAAATTAATACAGTACTCCAAAATATATATATATATATATATATATAATATAATCTTTTCTTGAAATAAATATTGATTTGAGTTTACAAAATCAATATTTATTTCAAGAAAAGATTATATATATATATATATATATATATATATATATATATATATATATATATATATATATATATATATATATATATATATATATATATATGTATATATATATATATATATATTTTTTTTTAAAATCTTCGCTTCCAACAAGGCTGTAAGCAACCACTAATTAGTGTTGGAAGTTACTGGAAGAGAAAAGATGAAGGTTGTAGAGCAAGATAACAATTGACAGATGATTTAAAAGATTGTAAATTATATGAATCAGGAAAGCAAGATAAAGGAAGTGAATTCCAAAGAACTGATGTTCGAGGAAAAAAACTAGACGAATAAGAGTTTTTGAAGCACTTAGGAACAGTAACAGAAAAAGGACGAGACTTAATTGAATGACGAGTAACACGAGAATGAATTTTAGTAGATGGCACAAGAGACGCAAGCTCTTTAGAGCAGTGCCCATTATAGTAATTGTAGAAAAGAGAAAGAGAAGCAACATTATGACAATGTGACAAAGGTTGAAGGTTGGCTGCAAGAGCAGGCCCAACTATGTTTACAATGCGTTTTTTTGCACCTTGTCTAAAAGAGAAAGGGCATCATTAAAAGATCCGCCCCAGATATGGCAAGAGTATTCCATACAAGGTCGGATTTGAGATTTATAGAGATAGAGAATAGAATCCAGAGTAAGAAAGTGTCGAGCTCGATAAAGAGATGGAACTTTAGCAGATGCTAATTTAGATTAGAAGTGAGAACTTATCCTAGAAGATGAAGGGTAGGAGACTCATCAAGTACATTACCCTTCATAAATATAGGAAGGTCTAAATTATTGCGACAATGATTGGCTGAAAAAAATTGAGTTTTATCTGAATTAAAGTTCACCAGCCACTGTGAACCCATGCTGTAGCAGAAGTGAGATCCTTTTTAAGCTCAAATGCCCCCTGCAAGCAATGAGAGGGAGTGTGCTTCTTATCGTGACAAGAATAAATGGTAGTATCATCAGCGAGCAATGCCACCTTAGATGTGAGAATATCTGGAAGATCATTAATGTAAATTAAAAAGAGTATAGGGCCAAGGATTGAACCTTGAGGAACCCCTGAGGTTACAGAATAAGAAGAGTACTGTCCATCAAGGACAACTTTTATGCTAAGATTGGAAAGAAAGGATTCAAGATAGGAAAGAAAGGATTCATATATATATATATATATATATATATATATATATATATATATATATATATATATATATATATATATATATATATATATATATATATATATATATATATATATATATATATATATATATATATATATACATATATATATATATATAATATAATCTTTTTTTGAAATTAACATTGATTTTGTAAACTCATATATATATATATTTATATATATATATATAATATAGTCTTTATTTGAAATAAATATTGATTTTGTAAACTCATATATATATATATATATATATATATATATATATATATATATATATATATATATATATACATATATATATGTATATATATATATATATATATGTATATATATATATATATATATATATATATATATATATATATATATATATATATATATATATATGTATTTATTTGGATTACTGTATTGGATTAGTGTATTAAATGATATATACTACATAATATATTTTAAAAAATATATATACATAAACCTTGAACTATTGAAAGAGGTAAAAAAATATTGTCCTTTGACTACCTCGATGTAAATGTACCATACCCCAAAAAATTTCTTGGGTTTAAAATTTTTTTTCTCCTTAATTCTATTTTTTCATTATTTAAAATATACCCAATATTCTTCTAGTGACATTATCTAGAGAATAAAATCTTACAATAAATACTGCCAAAAACACTACTTTAGGTGAGTTACTATATGCATCTTTTCTTATATTATAAAAGTTTATATTGAATATGTATTTTTATATTATATATGTATTTTTATGTTATACAGCATTTTTTACATTTTATGTATTACTTTTTTTTTTTTAATTTTTTACCCTCAAAAACAAAACTTACAAGGGTCAAAATTTTTTCTTATCTATTTCTTATCTTTATCAAAATTTTTTCTTATCCATAACTTCTTATCCAATTTGCAAAGGTTCAATCAGTAAGGGCAAACTGAGCATTTATCATTCTTTCACATAATATAATATATTCTAATTATATAATATATTCTAATTAAACATCTTTGTGAAGAATAAAAGCAGGTCAAAAAAGTACAGATGTCTAGTTATAAATCGGACACTTAAATAAAAAAGTTCTTGAAAATCTACCAACAAATTACTTTACAATTTTGGTATTACATATAGACTGCACTCAAAGTCTTCTCAAAACTTTCTACTTCATTAATTTTGGGCCTTTTAATAACTATGATAAAAAACAATATTATAATTTTGCTTGATTTGAGTTTATGTTTTTACTTTACTAAGCCTATATGATAATAGTAATCAAGAAGCCATCACCACCACTATAAGTTTGCTGGTAGGTGTTTATTTTTTGCTTTAGCATAATTCTTTAGAACAGAAAGAAAAATATTTTTACAAGGTCTAAGAAAAAATCAAAATTACAAAATGTAATTAAGGTGCAATGGTAGGTGGTCTGCTTCTTAAAAAAACATTTAAATATTACCAACCTGGTGATCACAACAACCTGGTAGTACTTATCTTGTTTTTTTACACAGCAACTTGGTGTGTCATGCACATGGTACATTTTAAACTATTAAAACAAAGTAAAACTTACTGCAAACACATCTGAAGTGACATTTTCATTAACTATTTCAATATCATCTTCGACAGGATCTACAGTCAATTCTTCTAAAGGCTCAGGCTGAAGAAGAAGAAAAACAGTTAAGTTATCGCAAAAAGCAAATTAAAATGTTTTAATATAGATCTATACAATTTTATTTATATCTTTATTATTTATATATTCATAGATAATTTATCTATATATTTATTTTTTCAAGCTATTCAAACTTTATACTTTAATTTACTGAGTTTTTAAACCCTTTTATTATAATTTTATATATATACAACATATTTATAATAAAAGGGTTTAAAAAATCATTTTTTTATTATAAATATGTTATATTTATAATAAAAAAACCCTTTTATTATAAACATAACATATTTATAATACTAATATAAATATATTAGTATTATAATATAATACTAATATATTTTATTAGTATTATATTATAAATATAATATAATACTAATATAACAATATTTATACAAAAATATATAAATATTGTTATATTTATATATTTTTATATTATTTATATATTACATACTTCTATTCCTAAGAGCAGATAATAAAAATTGACACTTATAATATCAAAGAGAGGCTCATAATATCAAAGTGTGGATGATATCAGAAGTTTGGCTAGTAGAAGTTGAATAAACTAGGTAACTTGAGGGGTAACTCTTTCAACAGGTATGAAATTTAAAATGTTTGCATTTCTTTAAAAATGATAAAATACCTAGACGAAGCATAATAAAAAAATTAAACAAGATACAACAAAAGCATTAGACAAAATGAAACTGTACTTTCAAATGATTTATAGAAATTTTAAAGCATTTGTAAATGTATAGAGCAAAACTTAACATGGACAAGATACAGAAACTAAAATAGATCAATAACAAACAATAATTTTTTTTATGAAATAAAAAACAATAAAACTTAAATCTTATAATGTAGTTTTACCATATTTGTTTAAAAGTGGAGATTTTTGTTACAAGAAAAAATATTCTTAAAATAATGTGAATATAAATTTCGTAATACTTTTATTATATAACAAAATAATTTTATTAAATTCATATTAGCCTTTAATTATTATAAGTAATAAATTCTATATATGTAATAATCAAAACAAATCACAGTAAATCTAAATATTATTACAAAAAGAAACATTTGTTTGAAAAGTATTTTTTATTTAACTTTAGTTAAGAAAAAAGCAACAAACAATCAAACTACCTTCTGCTCTGTCTCAAATTCTATGCCAAAAATTGGCCAAGAACTGAATACCTGGTTGTAAAAAACTCATACTTATAATAAAGAAATAAAAGATTTGAAACAGCATACATACATACATACATACATACATACATACATACATACATACATACATACATACATATATATATAATAACAAAATCTTTATTGTGGTATGCATATAAGTATGCTTATAAAATGCTTAATTTTAAAACATTTTTGTTTAAAATTAAAAAAAAAAAATATTTTACTTTGAACAAGTTTTGTATTTCTTTAACTGTTTCTTGGAGTTTTTCTGGAGGATCCAACCTAAAGCCTAGTACATAATTTCCACTCTAATAAGTAAAAAAAAAAAATTTTAATTTAACTATTAATCTTGCATTGTTAATGTTATTAACAAAAATATTATTAAAACCAAACATACAATGACACCACATGCACCATTTACAACACATGCAACAACAGCATTAACACTATACACCATACACACAATCAACTACATTAACAGCTCATTAATTACTAACTCTTCACAAATTTTTCAAAACGTATAAGCAAGTGGAACAAGAACAGAGTTTCATATGAGGGACAAGAAGTTATAGTTAAAATCAATGGATTTTCACAACTTGCGTCAGGCATCCACCCTCCTTCAGGCATCTACCTCTGCTTCAGGTATCCACTCTGCCTCCAAGGTAAATTGACATTGTAGAAAGTTTCAACATAGACAGTTGACAAGATTGCAAAATCTAGTGATCAAAATCTAGAAATACTTTTTACTAATAATTATGTAATTATTATATTGCAAACGATATTATATTACATTTGAAAGAATTATGTGAGAATAACTTTGTGTTAACATATACAACATATGAAAAACTAGGAGGGTCTAATACTAAATATAAATTTTATATTGTACACACTCATACATAGTTATTTATTTATTTTTAATGTTAACTCACTTCCCCATGGCTGAGAAGGACATTACAGTTGAGGAGGCCACTTTAATTATGGTTACAAACCTCTCTTAACTTTATAACTTCGAAACACAAGCCTTGATAATCAAGGCAGCTGCACGAAGAAACAAATTGAACGTGGTACTACCAGGGATACTACATGAGGCAAGCGCTCTATCACTACACCACTACCCTTAACAGCACACCCATAAAAAAAAAAAACACAGTCCAACCATAACATACACACCATTCAATCTACAATACATTACATACATTTAAAATGAATATATATTATACAAATTTTTTTTTTATCTATACTCGCATTAAATCACAACTATGCTTGTACTAATGCATATATGATATTAGAAATTTATGCTAATTTATCCTAATCCTAAAAATTTTGAAAATTTTTATTTCAAAAAAACTAAAATAAACTCTCTTCATAGAAAATTGTAAAAAAAAAAAAAAAAAAAAAAAAGTTCTTTCAACAAAATAGATCAATTTGATCAAAGAGAATAGATTTAGGATGTTTCTACCAAGTGGGCACAGACATTCATAATAGATTTAGGATGTTTCTGCAATCATGTAATAAGTTCCTTAGATTAACTTGTGTAATCATTTGTAATGAAGAAAAGAATATTTATTCTACCAAGTGGGCACAGACATTCATAAGAAGTCCATACAACATATTATGGACATCTCAAGTTTGTATAATACCGCAGGGTAGTTTATTAAAGCAAAAAGTTTATTGATTTTTTTAAAATACAGGAAAATCACACTTACAAAGTATTGCACAAAAAAATTCACAACAAACAGTTTAATAACCCCTATGTATGCTAATAAAAATCATAACAAACAGTGTAACAACTTATGTATGCTAATAAAAACATGAAGTAAAATAAAATCAACAAAAAAATGTTCACCATAATCCAAAAACATTAAAATAAAGAGTTGAGAATCAGCAATAAAATATTTACTTGTTGAGATGTTTCCAATACTAATGCCAACCCAAACTTTGAGTCTCTAATTTTTATAGATTTCTATAACAACACAAAGTAATATAACTATTTTTTAGTAGTTAGGCTGTCAGAATAAGCAAACATTAGCAAACTATTATAAAAAGCTTGTAGAAATTTCAATTATAAAAAAAAAAAAAAATTACCTACCATTTGTAGATATGGTATACTAACATTAAAACTATCGTTCATGTTAGCATGCCAAACAAGGCGAATATTTGTTATGTAAAATATCCCAAGATTTCCCTAAATCAAAAGCATAAGTTTGAACAACATTGCAAGAACCAAAATAACAAAGTTTAAAATTAAGAAAACTGATGAATGTATTTTTACACAAAACTATTTGAATAGACAAGTTAGAAAGTTAGAAAGTCTAGTTAGATACTAGAAAGTCTAGTAAGATACTAGAAAGTTAGAAAGTCTAGTTAGATACTAGAAAGTCTAGTTAGATACTAGAAAGTTAGAAAGTCTAGTTAGATACTAGAAAGTCTAGTTAGATACTAGAAAGTTAGAAAGTCTAGTTAGATACTAACACATCCTATAATAATTTTTATACTATAACAAATTATTAACTTTTTAAATGTCAATCAAATTGTTTAGTTATATGAAACTTCCTTTAACTTATGATGTGAAAGAATGCAAGTTTTTTTTTGTCAATTCCACAACCAAACGTAGAAGGAAAAAAAGTTTTTTGGCATCAGGATAAAAGTTACATCTACCTGACAATAGATAAAAACATATTATGCTTTATGAAATGATAATATCATTTGTTCTTCTCCTTATAACTGAGTTATTTAATATAACATCTACAATAAAGGACAAAAATGTGAATCATTTTGGTTTGAATAATTCATTTGCAAATATTATTTTAAAATTTTTATACAAAGTTAACAATTTTGATTATTAAAAACAGCTGTTTATTTTTTTCGAAAAGTCAAGCAAAAAAAATTGTTTTTTAAACTTTATTCCAAATTTGCAAATCATTGCCAACAAGATCTAATCTATATTTTCTAAATCATGTAAAAATTTTTGTACAAAATAAACAACTTTAATTTTTGAAAATTATTTAATTCACCTATTGTAAATATTGTTCTAACTAGTTTGCTAGTTAAACCTATTTTTTGGGTAACCCGTTTGTGTGCGTGCGTGCGTACGTGTGTGTGTGTGTGTGTAAATAAACATATTAAATAGAGTATCCTTGAAAAAAAAAATCAAAAACCTGATCACTAGAAAGATTCCAAACTCCAGTAATCTAAAAAAAATACTTTTAAATAATTTAAAAATTTTTTAATCATACAAAACTTTTCAAAAATTTCAATATTTTGTCTACTTTAAAAATCAGAAATGTTTCAACTTACAGTATTATATATTTGTTCAAGTGGCAACAAACACAGTTGTTTGTTAGAAATCAAAGCACCTCTTAGCTTTAATTCTCTATACATCTTTGAAGTTTCATATGCTCTTCCCATTAAAAAAAATACATTTTAAATATTTTTAATAATTTAAATAATTGAATAAAAAAAAAAAATATGTTTAAATATTGTTCAAATAAAAATAAAGTAATTAAATAGTTGAAAAAAACAAAACCATCAGATAAATCATCAGATGATTGTAAATTATTGAAAGGAAAAAGCCTATAAGTAATCAATATTTACTAATACTAAGGTCACAAAGTGTATATATATATATATATATATATATATATATATATATATATATATATATATATATATATATATATATATATGTATGTATGTATGTATGTATGTATGTATGTATGTATGTATGTATGTATGTATGTATGTATGTATGTATGTATGTATGTATGTATGTATGTATGTATGTATGTATGTATGTATGTATGTATGTATGTATGTATGTATGTATGTATGTATGTATGTATGTATGTATGTATGTATGTATGTATGTATGTATGTATGTATGTATGTATGTATGTATGTATGTATGTATGTATGTATGTATGTATGTATGTATGTATGTATGTATGTATGTATGTATGTATGTATGTATGTATGTATGTATGTATGTATGTATGTATGTATGTATGTATGTATGTATGTATGTATGTATGTATGTATGTATGTATGTATGTATGTATGTATGTATGTATGTATGTATGTATGTATGTATGTATGTATGTATGTATGTATGTATGTATGTATGTATGTATAAAATGTATTATAAAGTATTTAGCATAAAAATTCCAATTCACAAGCATTAAAAATTTGTAAGAATCACCTAAAAACAGAAAGTACAGTTGAAAAAAGTCTTGGGCTACCAGGCACCTAAAGTTCAGAAAATATTTTGAAATTACTAAAGAGTTAAATATTAAAAACTAAAAATAGCTGAAGTTTAAAAAATATATATTTTAAAATTTTTTGAAATAGTTTATTGAATAAATTGAGAATTAAAGTAACAAACATCTGAATATATGTATATTCTTTTTTTGCTACAAAACCTTTCAGTTTTTTGTTTTAAATTTTGAAAGTTAATTGAAATTTGAAGAAAAGAAATATTTTTATACCCAAGCATAAACTTTTGTAAAAATTTACAAAATTAAAATCCAATTTTTTTTACATTTACTTACAGCAAAAAAAATTTATATATAATATTTTATAAATTATTATTAGGATTTATATAATATAAAATCTTTATTGTTATATATGTATATAAACTTTTTGCTTCAGTCAAAAATTTAAAATAATTGAAAAACAGTACAAATTAAAGTCATTGAAATTTTAGTAAGTAGAAAGTCTAGTAGCAGTCTAGTAATTAATTATTTATAACATTGTAATGACTTCACATGAACTTTCAGTTTAGAAATGGTAATGTTTTTTACAAACTAAATTTGCACAAACAACTTAACTTATTTTAAGCAATTCTGTATTTAAAATAATGAAAAATTACTGATAGATTAATAAAAAAAAAACCTTACTCACTAGGCTTGTGAAAATAAATTCAAACTTGGTATTGTTACATTTTGTCAGAACATAAAGTGCATCTGTTTGACCTCGAAGTTTCTAAAGAATACAAAGTGCATCTTGTTAAAGTTTCTAAATATTTCAATTTTTTTCTTCTCAGTAAAAATCATCCAAGATCAGAGTAAATTAGAATAAAATGGACAAATAAAAAAAGTAAAATTAAAAACATTTCACAAAAAATTTCAAACAAATATTAATATTATAAAAATTAAATAAGAATATAAATGTCTTACAGACACAGCTGTTTTAACAGCGATGTTTGACACACAATTGTATCCAATAGCTTTAAATAAAATTATTTATAATATTATACATTATTTTATAAATATAATAAATTTTATAACTAAAATAATAAAGATTTAAATAAATAAATATTTAATAACAATTAAACTACTTACAAAGGTTCACTCTTGGCATAGCATGTGAATGCCATATTATACGCAAGTTGGTAACCAACATTTTACCTGTTTTATAAAAACTGTTACTGTAAAATTACATTTTAATAAATTATATTTACTTTTTAATAAAATATTTTTATCAAACTTTTGAAAATTATTAAAGTTTTATACTTTAAATAATCTTCAACTAAAACTTATACAAAACCTTGAATAAATAAATAAATAAAAAGAACTGATAACTTCATAATCAAAAATCATTTTTGGATTTTAACAAGAATACCTACATTTTCGGTCATTACCTCCTAAGACTATTCAATATTTCTATGACTTAGTACATGTATTTAGTACATGTATCTTAATACATATATCTTAGTACATGTGTCTTGTGCCTCATACAATCATAATAACTATAATAACCTTAACTTCCAATAAAAAATCTAGTATTAAAAAAAAAAAAATAAAGACAAGAGCTTTGCCAACACATTAACTTAAGGCCATCATAAAGTGGATATATAAGTAGTCGTAAACAGATACATATAGTAGTAATTGATATATACAGCTATATAGATAAAGGAGAGAATCTTAATGAGTGGGTTGATTATTGAATGGGACAAAATCAAATTCGCATAGAAGCAACTATGATTAGATATTCAAACACCCATGGTAAAAAGCGTTAGACACAACCAGACTGAATCATTATTTTTACTATTTTTACAAAAAGCGTAATGGCATTAAATGATATTGTGTTTTGAAGAACAAAAAGTAATTTAAAAAAAAAATATTTTGTTTTTCTGATTTAGCGCTTACTGAAGTTATGGAAAATTAAACTCCATTTTTAAATACACTGGTTGCCTCCAATTTAAAAAATTTTAAAGCATTCACGTTTAGGTAATGCTGTTTTTAGTCTGGCCCTTCATTTGTGGATAAAGTGAGAAGTTTATTGAAAGGGACAAAGAAATGATTATAGAAATGGGACTTGTTCAAACAAACTGTTGTGAAAAAAGTGAAAAAGATATTTTGGCAACTTTGTTATGGTCACACATATTTTTATTTTATTAAACGTTAATTTAAGTTCTAACAGTACAGTTCTAAATAAATATGACCAATGCTTTAGGTAAAATTTTATATATCTATATACATTTATAAAAATATCAAAAGTAAACAAATTGGTTTACTTTTGATATTTAGTTTTATGTTTATAATTATAACTGTATGCGATAGTAGTGTAATGGGGCATTATTAAGTAGCCTCCTTGCCTGTAGTAGCCTTGGGGAGGTGAATCAACATCAAAAAAAATTGTATTTATATACATTACATATATATATATATATATATATATATATATATATATATATATATATATATATATATATATATATATATATATATATATATATATATATATATATTATTTTTTCAAAAATTCACTTCCAACAAGGCTGCAAGCAATCACTATTAGAATTGGAAGTTACTGGAAGAGAAAAGATGAAGTATATAAAGCAAGATAACGATTGACAGACAACTTAAAAGATTGCAAATTATATGAATCAGGAAAAAAGGTGAAGGAAGCAAAATCCAAAGAACTGATGTTCAAGGAAAAAAACTAGACAAATAAAAATTTTTGGAGCTCTTAAGAACAGTCACAGAAAAATTAGAAGACTTAATTAAATGACATGGTATCTATGACAGCGTTAGAGTTTATTTAAGGCTATTGTTGTTTTGTTGATTAAAAAAAATTTTTCTAATGAGGTATAATGCTTTCTGATAATAATACCTATTTGGTTTTATTTCTTAAAATAAATTTATGAAATTTTTTTTATGTTTCTATTAGAATTTTAATTTATTTTGTTTTCATGTTTTCTTTTGGTGGTATGGTAAGTTTTTTATTTATTTATTTTAATTTTTGTTTGTTCAGTAAATCTACACTTTTTATATCATATCATCAAAAAAATATTGGTGCTTTACAAATTTGGGGTTAATAACCTAATTAAATTATAGTATTTATAAAAAAGAAAACACAAATGTATACATACTTTGATCATATAATGCAAAATGTTCTGTGAAATTTGGGTATTTGATTTTTATAAAGTTTTGAATTTTTTTAGATGAAACCAAACACAAAATTAATACAAAAAAATTCTTTAGATGTTGAAAATGTAGTCAAAAGTGTTGGGTAAAAGGGTAAAAGACTATTCAAGGGTAAAAGGGTAAAACGGTATGGCCATTCTAGGTAAAAGAATATGACCTGGGTAATAGGTTAGATATGACATCTAGGTAGATATGACATCTAGGTAAAAGGGTATTACCATTCAAGGGTATGACCAAAAGTGTTCTAGGTAAAAGGGTATGACCATTCAAGATGCAGCTAACAAATGTAATTTATCAAAATCTACAGCAGGTAGAACTGTAAAAAGGGCAAGATCTCTAAAGCTGCCAGAAAACTTTATATACATTGCAAACATAGGAAATAGAAAAACTTTTCATGCTTCTGATGAAAGTGCTGTTGTAGAATATTTGCATATGTCTTCATAAGTGTTACAGTTTCACTAAATTACAAACTAAGCAGTTAGCTTACAAGTATAGTGTTGCATTGAACTCTAAAAATATACCTGATTCATCAAGACACCTAAATAAAATGCCAGGAAAGCAATGGTTAGACAGTTTTTTAAAGCGTTATCTCAAATTATCACTACAAAAACCAGAAATAGTCAGCCTTGCTTGTGCAACTACCTTTATTTCACATGATGTGTCAATGTTTTTATTATGAATTTATTACAAGTGATTTTAGTGTTTTAAAAATTTTTTTAAATGTTTGTCAATATGCGGAAAAATGTCTCTTTAAAAGAAAATTTCCTTAAGTGCTCCTATTGCATACATGTATACCATATGCATAGCCATTTTGGCATCCCTAATGGTAGAAACAATCTTAACTGGCTTGAAACTTACTACTGACTTCTTTTCATTTTTCAGACTTATTTGTCCCATTCAATGAGTAGTTCTCAATGAATGAGACAAATGCCCTGGTCCAATAAATAACTTATTTTACCAATAGATGCAATAAATTACCAATAGATGCAATAAATTACCAATAGGTAATTTATTTATTATGCAGAACAAATTTTTTTGTTTTACCACTTCATAGTTAATAGTTATCAAACTATTTTTGATGTAAACAACTTTATCAATCTAAATTAAACAACTTTATCAACCTAAAAAGAGCATTTCACAAAAATTCTCCCCTATATAAAGTAGCTATATATAGATTTATATAGTATTAGATAATATATACAGTGAAGAAGATTAAGATGATCTACAAAGTAAGATATCTAAAAATATTCTTGAGTAAATGGTTGTTTTAATGGGTAAATAATTTGTAAATGATTGTTTTAATTGGTAAAAAAATTATGTAAAATCATTATGCATATTATAAACTTGTTTTAAAATAAAGTTTATAATATAATAAGCCTTCCTTTCATATAAAAAAATGAGAAAAATGGTCAATGCCATCATTAATTATTATAATATTGGAAACACATCAAAACAACACAGGGCACATATTCCTGTCAAAATAGCTTGCAGACAAAACAGTTATAGACAAAATAGCCAAATTAAGTCTTATTTCATTAAATTTTTTTGTAACTATTAAAACTAGAGTTAAAGTCTAGATAATAGTTAAAGTCTGGTAACTCAAACCTCTATTCGACAAAGGAAAATTTATAACCAATGTTCAATTTATGTCAACTTTGGAAAGGTATGGGAATAAAGTTAAAGGAATTGTTCTTAAATAAATAACATAACAACAACAACAACAAAATATTTATTTTCCTCAAAATATACAATCATATAATTACAATAATATATTAATAATAATAATAATAATAATAATAATAATAATAGCAATAAATAGCAATAATAATAATAATAATAATAATAATAATAATAGTAACAATAATAGGAATAAGAATAATTATAATGTTATAAATAGTAATAATAAAAATAATAATAATAAGAATATCTATAACATTATAAATAATAAATTAAAAATATAATTATTAAGAATAAATATAAATAATTGATTGAGGAAGGAGTCACTCATACAGAATCCTGATCAAAGGAGTGACACCAAATAATTATATTAATATTATTAATTTAAAAAATAATAATAACAATAAGAACTTTATTCATTAATAGAGCAAAAGTAACAGCAAAAACAATAGTATTTATAATAATTGTAATAATAATAGTAATAATAAAAACAGCAGTAATGAAAGTAATAAATATTAATGATAAAAATAATAAAGTTTCTATAAAAATAGTAAGAAAAAGAAAGAAAACTAAAGAAAGTTAATAGTGATAAAAACTTAAAATAAAATTTTTTTTAGAATTTGTTTAAACTTATTTTGTTTTAAATAAAGAAATGAAGATAAATTTTGAAATTTTAATTTTTCAAACTCATTCACAATGCACACAAGACTTCAATTCCATTCACTGATGCATTAATGTGTAATTGAATACTTACCACACTTCAAAGTTTTATAGGGAGGTACATTTAGTTTTCCATTAGTGATGTTTCTAGTTAAATGTGAATATAAAAATCGAGTTTCAGTGAAGAAGGTTGTAATAGAGGAAGGTAAATTTTTATTAAGGGAAGTCAAAAACAAAAAGAAGATTAGTAGTGCTAGTGCTGACAAGGTAGGAGTTTTACGTTTTTTGAAAAATTTTGAAGGTTCTGTTCATGGAGTTGAAAATTAATTATTCGGATTGATTGGTGCTAAGCTGATAACAATTTATTAATATTACAGTTGCAAATTTTACCCCAAACTTGACAACAGTAGATGAGATGAAATTGAAAAATTGAAAAATACAGATTCTTAAGGGCAGTTTTATCAACATAATAGCAAATTCTTGAAAGCATGCCATTAGCTCAATTAAGTTTTTTACAGAGTGCATTTATATGAAAATTCCATGAGAGGTTCAAATCTATAAAAATACCAAAATATTTAAGAGCGTGTTTTGGATATAAACATTTATTATTAATCTTAATTTTAGTTATATGATTGTTGTATAAAAGTTTTTGTCTTAGAGATGAAAAAAATATTAGTTCAGTTTTTTCCAAGTTCAGAGAAATTAGGTTTGCATTTAGCCAATGAACTAAACCTTTTAGGTCTAATTTTATAATCTTACACAAGGAATGATGAGACTTATTAATATGCAAGATATTAGTATTATCAGCAAAAAGATGGACTGATGAGAAGCGGGCAGAGTTATTTAGATCATTAATATAAATCAAAAACAATAAAGGGCCAAGAACAGAGCCCTGGGGAACACCACAAACTATATGTTTGTTATTTGATTTGTAACCATTAATGCTAACAAACTGTTTTCGATTTGAAAGATAAGATTTAAACCAGTTACAAGAAACTTCTCAGATTCTGTAGTGTTCAAGTTTAGAAATTAAAATGGTATGATTAACGGTATTGAACGCTTTTTGTAAGTCAATAAAAATACCACCTATGAAATAACCAGTATCCAGTGCCTTTTTATTTTTTAGGTTATACTTATGAAAGCATAGCAAGTAGAGCAATTTGATCGAAATACAAGCTAAAACTCATTTAAATAGTTAAAGGAATTCAAAAATGAGTATAATCTAGAGTACATTAGTTTTTCAAGGAGCTTGCTAATATTAGAAAGAATTGAAATTGGTCTAAAGTTAGTACATGAGAGTTTTGAACCATTTTTATATACTGGAATGACACATGATAATTTCAAAATATCAGGAATTTAAGGAGATATTAAATAGCTTAGGGAGAATATGAGAAAGTTCAGAATTAAAATCAATAGGAATGTTTTCTAGATTTTAATTTAGATATAAGTGATGAGATTTCAGAATGGTTTGTTGGAGATATCAGTAAACTATGAAAATTTGGATGTTTAAGATGCTTTTTATAGTTAATGTAAGATGAGTGAATTTTAGAATTAAGTTTATGAGCTACATTTGTGAAAAAGTTGTTGAATTCTTCGCAGATTAGAGTAGGTTCAGTTATGCATGTTTCGTTAACTTGTAAGCAATTTGGAGGTATATTATTGACATTTTTGACATTTATTAGACTTTTTATGCCTTCCAGGTCTCACAAAAAATTTTTATACTTTCTGAAAAGAATTTTTTGAAATGGATCTTTTAACTCAATTTTATTAGACTAATTATGGTATATTTGTAACATTTAAAGATAGTTTTTAGTTCATTTATACTTGTTGGAACTTCTGTCTTTAACATTTTCCCTTGAATAAGATTTGGAATTTCAATTTATTTTATTATTATTTTAGTAATCCATGGCTTGAATTGACGCTTGTAGCTTTTAATACTAATTTTTTTGAGTGTCACATGACAATCTAACAACAAAACATCGTTTTTATTGGTAATGTCATCAACTTTTAATACTTCAGATTTAAATAATTCTTTATTATAATTTTTAAAGTTCCTGCGGTATAAATTATGATTGCGTGGTATAAATAGTTTGTTGAAATTAAGACAAACAAGAAATTGAGGTAAGTAGTCAGAAACCGAAGTTGTTAGATTTCCTGAAATAATTTGGTTAGTGGTTACATTTGAAAAAATATGGTCAATGATTGTAGCAGAACGGTCAGTAACTCTCGTTGGTAGCGTAATAAATGGGCAAACATTATAAGAAGTAAGTGAGTTTAAAAACTCAGAATTGCTAAGTCAGAGTTTGACTGCATCAGATCGATGTTAAAATTGCCAAGAAGAAAGACAGATTTAGAAGATATTTTTTGGAGAAGGACAGACATTTTATTATTGAAATCATTTACATGCTAGGATGTCTATACATGCAACCAATAATAGTATTTGATTTTTTGGGAAAGATTATTTCAACAAAAGTAGATTCTAAATATTTCTAAATAGATAAATATAACAAGGTTCCACCACAAGAAGATTCGGTTGGTGTGTGCTCAAAATTATAATTTTGAATAATAATTGGATGTGTGGAAAGAGATTCTTTTTTTAATCTTGTTTCTGTAACTCCAATAATGCTAAATTCAAAACTAATTAATGATAATTTGAATGTTACGATCTTCAAAGTGCTTTTGTAAAGAAGATTGTTTAAATGGAAAAAGGACATGAGTTAGTGATGTCAAAGTTATAAGAACGAAATTTATTAATATTATGATATTGACAATCTACATCAAAAGATGAACAGTTCTCCTCATCAGTTGCAAGGCAACTTACACTAACTTTTTTTGTACATGCAGTGCATACTCCTCTAAAATTTAGAAGAAAGCTTGAAGTTGTTAAGCTTTTAAAAAAAGAAAAGAAAATAATAATGAAAATAACAATGAAAAATAATAACGATACAATATTATAAATAGTAATTATAATAGCAACAATTATAATAATAGTAATAATAATAATATTTGACATAAATTAGTCAGTATTAATGAACAAGTTAATATAAAATAATACTTATAATAATAAAACAATAGAATAATAAGTAATATTATATCACTAACCAAAAATAAGAATAAATAACTAATTATAAATTAAATAGAAATTGTACAAAAATTATATCTAATGTTTTAAATGTGCTAATTTAAAAAAATGCAATAGTTAATAAATCAGACTAATTTTAATGAAAATTGTCTAATCCAGTTTTTAATTAAATTTAAATTATTTTAGATTAAAATTACTTATTAGTTAGGATTCTAATAATTACTTATTAATTGGGATTTTAATAATTACTTAATAGTTTGAATTTTAACAATTACTTATTAGTTTGAATTTTAATAATTACTTATTAGCTGGAATTTTTATTTGAAATATATCAAAATATTTAATAAGTAAGTGTGCATATAAAAATATTTAAACAAATTTAATGCATAAAAAAAATAAAAATCTAAACATAAGTACATACCTTTATCACCATTATTTCCTTTTGTGTCCTCAACAGACTCTAACTTATCTATGACAACCTGTAAAATTAAAAATATATACTTTTATCACCATTATTTCCATATTAAATGGTGTACACCCACAAGTTTTCTTGTTTTTAGATACACCCAATTTTGTTACAAATTTAATACTCTTTTTAATATATATTAAACGTGGCTGAAAACACAGGTTTTGAAGTGGAGGAGGACAATCGTCTATTTCTTAAAAAAGACCTCTTTATCTAGAATTTTTTCTATAAAAAAAAAGACTTCCCCCTTTCCCCGGCATTGTCAGCCCTGTTACATTTTGTAAAAAATTTACACATTGTCTGCTTTTTTCTATGCTATCTTTCTAACGTGACTACTTCTGACTCTTATTTATTTCTGTTCTTCTTAAAACTTAATTTTGGTCTGTCAAAGGGACTTATGATGATCTTTGGTGAGCTGAATTTAGAAATGATTCCTGCCTCAAGAAAGTTGACAAGAACCTCATAAAAGAACTAGCTAAGTTAATATCTGACTAATACAACCAACAACTTTTAAAATATTCTGTCATCCGTCTCCTTGCTCTTTAACTTGTCTTTCTTTCTAGTAACTCTTAACTTTAAGCTTGCAGCTTTGTTGGGAGTAAATTAGAACAAAAAAAAAATATTTTCTATTAACTCCCAACTTAATAGTTGCAGTCATTATGAGAGTGAATCTGAATAAAATAAAAAAACTTATTCTCAAATTGGAAAAATCAGAAAAATAGAAGACATTTAATATTTAAACTCAAAAAGGAATATGTACTCTATATAATTACATTTCTGTTCAATTTTTTACTTAAAAACTTAAATAGTAATTTCAATTTACAAATTTCACAAATTTTTATTATACCAATTTTTTTTCTCTAAAGGCTATTTGTTAAAGTTGATTATAGAAAAAATAAATTGTCACTATATTGAATTAAGAACTAGTGAAATAGTTACAATACTATTTAAATACCTAACTAGTAAAGTAAAAAATAAGTGGGAACAAGTTTACATAAGCTTTCTTTTATGCATTACATTCAAAAATTAATTTGAATTGTAATTTTGAATAAAAAAAAATGAGATTAATCAATATTTAAGGAGAAAAATAAAGTTGAGAAAACCATATGTCACATGTTAACTGTATTATAGCAAATTTTTAGACCAGCAAGTATTATATTTTACAGAATTTGCATGTAACACTAGTGCCATTGGAAAAAAATTAAATCCTGTGTGAACATACATACATACATGAATTTGAAATACCTCTTTTTAATGCAACAACTATTTAATTCACCAATTATAGCTTATTTTCAAAATAAGAAATAAAAACGAAAAAAAGTGCAAAAATTGATTTCTACTAACATAGTTTTCTTACATAAAAATATCTATATAGCTCTACATTGGCAATATTTTTACAATTTTTAGTTGTCTTTAAATCAACATACAATTGCTTAGAAAATGTAAATGTGAACATGAATACTTAAGCATTTATTTAAAAGTGCATACATAAAATAAAACAGTTGCGCTAGTTTGTTATATTATTACCAAAGCAATTTACACTTTACACTCACTTTGGCAATTCAACTCTGAATGTTTTGCATTGCAAAACCATTACATATTTTGACTTGTGTCCAACCAACTTTTGTTGTTGTGGCTGATATGTTTTAATTACCTTAACTTGACTGCCTGAGAATGACATTGTATTTATTTGAAAGCATCACTTAGTAACTTTTGAAGATCAACATTAAAAATACTTGACAAATATGAGACAGAGTAACATTAGGAACAATCAATCAAGCTGATATATGACCAAGTTGGATAAGCTTGATGGTTGATTTATCAAACACATGAATATTGTTTTCAACCAAGTGAACTTGAGCATCAATTATTTTCTCACAGGAAAACTGACAGATAGATCTTCATCAGTTAAACCAGCAAAAATAATATTTTTTTAGATAAACAAAGTAAGTGTTATTTTGAAACACTGTTTCAAAAATTTTCTCAAAAAGTCTCTCAAAGTTCTAGTTTCAAAAATCTCTCAAATTTTTATTACCATTTCATTATTAAGAAAAAAAATTCTAATCCATCAAAACAAAAAGAACAAAGGTTTATGTTAAACCATGATGGAGCATACACATTTAAAATGAATGTTATAATTCTAGATAGTGATTTAGAAGCAGTTTGTTAGGACATATAAAACCATAATGTTTGATTTACTTTTGTTAACTACCATGAATGATTAAGATTTTCTGGAATTGCATTCTGCAGGAAAGATGTAAGATTATTAGCAGTATTCCTATTAAACTGCTAAACAAACCTTTAGAAGAAAAATCTGATCAGTGCTTAATTCATATCATTACATCATCACTAATGTCAATAACTTCTCTAGAAATAAGTTTAAAATTCACAATAAGTAAATAAGAACAAAAGCAAGCTAACATTTTTAAGCTTCTCATGAACAAAATTTCAATTACTATTTTACTAGTAATAGTTATATTCTCTAAAATAGTTATATTACTGAAATTTAATTAATATTGTACTTATGATTATTACTTAAAAAAATACAATAAACCTACTTCTATTTCTAATAAACCTACTTCTATTTCTAATCTTTTTGTGTATAATCATATAAAAAGATTTATCTCAATCTTTGATAAATCGTTACTTTAAATACTTCTTTGATAAAATGTTAAAAAGTTGTTTTCATACTAAAAGTTTAGAAGAATTGAAATTTAAAAATTAATTAAATGACAATATATTATCATATTGGCTTAATAATTCACAATGAAAGTAAAATATATAATAGCACACACTTTACTGATAAAAAAAAACAATTAAGTAACTTGAACAAATAAAAATATGAGAACTGAACAAATAAAAATATCATATGGTTTTGTCTATCCAGATGTGTTCATGAGTTATAGGTAATAAGACATCTTTTAAATCAGTAGTTCCCAACCTGTGGGTTGCAACTCCAACAGGGGTTGCCTAACAATTTGCCAGGGGCCACCATTAGACCTCCTGAATAAAATTTTAACACTAGTCAGTAGTTTATTTTTATCATTTCAAATTTAAACAATAATTCTACTTTGACTACAGCCATTACACGAAAGCAACGTAAAATACTGCGGATCATTCGACAGATGAAATGTCATTATTTGAAAAAAAGTCTAAGATCATCTTGTTTTTTAATTTTTTGATGTTGTTCATTAATTACTCCTTGAAGTTTACTTGTTTTTATGTTTTAGGAAGACTTCTAAGATTACATAAAACTAAAATACTTATAGAACTAAAAATTTAATAAAAAGGAAAGACTCTTTAGTATAAAGCACCGCAGAATACCTGCATCAAACATAACAAAATTAATAATCTATCTTGGACTTTGAACTTTTGGCTAAAGAGCAACTATTATAATAGCTAACACATATTTTTTCACAATACATACCAATAGACAATATCAAAACACCATTACAAATAAATACTCTCAAACAACTAGTGGCAAACTTTTTGAACGGTTTTGATTAAATGTCTTTGTTTGATCTCATCCTTTATATTTGCTGCATATATAACACTACTTTGGTGTGTGTGTGAGAGCGTGAATTTCACAGACAGTCTAGACCTAAGTTTAAGAGGAAAAGTAGTTAAATGGTCAATTATTCAAGCTCATTTTTTAATACTATTAATTTATAATTACAGTAGTAGTAGTAGAATATTTTAGTTACTCACCTCTAGTTAAATAAAAAATTTATTTCAAAACATTAAAAAAAATTTTAATCTTTTTTTAGGGGTATAGGGTGGGAAACGTAATATGCCTCTCCCATAAATCAATTTAAATACCTTTTTTAATAATATTACAAGCTTTTACACATCTATTAATATATGTAAAAACTTGTATAGCATAATTTTTATATTGTATACTAACTTTACTTATGTTAGTATGTACAAAAACAAGCAACTTTTCATACTAGGGTGTGTATATTTACATAATATTATATAGAAACTTTATTTTAACCACAGTTTCTTCAACAAATTATATATTGGAAAAATGGTACTTAAAATGTCATTATTTTTGAAAGAATTTTTCGATTTTGATAACTTTTTCACCATGAAAATGCTGTATGATCTTCTTTCTAATAATATACAACAACAACAAAAATTAATAACTTGAAACTTTTATACACATACCTAGTATAATTGTATAACTCAATAAGAGTAACAAATGCATATGCGAAGTTTAGGTACTAAATAGATATGAAAAATGATTTTTATTTAAGAAAAAAAATCATTTTTATAATCGATATTAACTGCTTAATAGAAGGATATTTACTTGAAATCATTATCTATTCTTTTACAGAATTGGCACAATTATCTCCTTAATATTATTTTTTTATTCAAATTTTAATTCAAACTAAAATTTGAATGAAATATAAATGCACAAAAAAAAATATTAGCAAAAAAAAAAAATTATACAAATATAAATATACCTCTCCTGGTCTGTTTTTTAATTGTCTGAAAAAAAAAGTCACTTCTACAGTATATTTAATATATATATTTTAATATAAATATTTTTCAAATTGTGTTTGATAGAAGAGATTTTAAGTAATTAAAATAAAATATATATATTAAAATTTACTGAAGTGAAACATCAAAACGAATGTCACGATCTTCCCATAAACAATCATTTCCAGACATTTCAAAATTACTTTATTATGCAATAAAAAAAAAAAATTTTTGTTATGCAATAAAAATAAAACTTTTTAAAATTTAACAAATTAAATTTTAAAAAGTTATAACAGGTATTACTTCATATTTTTCAACTTAAAACTTTATATTTACTATTAAATACTTCGTAGTTTAGACATCAAATATCTTTAAACAAAACAAAAACAAACAAAAAAAACAGTTCAAAAACATAATTAGAAAAAAATTATTCTGTAAGATTGATTTTATTTACTAATATTAAATTTAATTTTGTTAAAATCAAGCTAAAGATATTGATCAGATTAAAATAAAAAACTTTTCTGATTTTAAAGAACCTGAAAATTTTCAATTTTTAAAGCTATTTTCGTAAAATAGTTGAAAGTTTTTAAAATATTAAAATAAAATAAAAACTTAAAAAATATATATTTAATCCACATTAATCTACAAATACACAAATTTTTAATTTATCGTTTCTTTAAAAGAGAAATCTTGTCGCACAAAATTAACATAAATTAAAGTTAAGCTTTAAAAAACTCGGCTAACTATACATATTTTTGTTTTGATTAACAAACAAAAAGCTATCGCTGATTACAAACTTTCGTAAAATTTAGAACCGCTTCTGTCAACCGGCTAAATAAGCGCATTTGATAAGTGCGGACTAGCAAAATTGGCATATATATATATATATATATTACAAATTATACAGGTATATATATATATATATATATATATATATATATATATATATATATATATATATATATATATATATATACCTGTATAATTTGTAATATATATATATATATATATATATATATATATATATATATATATATATATATATATATATATTACAAATTATACAGGTATGAAAATAAAAACAAAAAAAGAAGAACGCGGAGACTCGCAGAAGACCTTCAGGTCTAATCATCGAAAACCGCTCGCGAATATTAAGTAAATTAAATTAACATGAAATGTTAAAATAAAAAATAAAGCAATGTCGTAGTAATAGTTAGTAATAATTAGCAAGAACGTCGATTTCGTAAGAATATATAGATTAAATTGGTATAAAAAAGTTCTTGATACTTTTATATATAAATACAAAAATATTTTAAAAAGTATTTTTTTCAAAAACACATAAGTTATGGATCAGATATAATATTTATATATTACCTTATGTAATAAGCTTCATATTAATTTTCAGAAGAATTTAAAAATATAAAAATATGTCTTCAAAAGATAAATAATTTCTTTTAGTTTTTTCTTGAATTAAAGATTATTCCATTCATGGGGAAAATCAAAATTTTTCAAAACTATTTTATTCCAAAGGAAAGCTCCTCGATATGAAATACACGACTTTCCAAAATTACTAAAAGATAAAGGTTGCTAAATTAGATTATCATTTCTTAAGTTATATTTATTTTTATCTTTTTATGTATATAAATTATGAAAAGAAACTGAACATGCGTTGGTTTTACATTTGTACATAAAACAAAGTATATTAAAAATATTTAGCTGATAAATATTAAGAATTTTTGTTTGAAATAATAATGGTTTGACATGAGCAAATTGATCTTGATATATGATAATGCTTCTGCTGACGATAGATTTATTTAAGTAAGTGCGACCTGACATATACACAAATTGGCATGAGTGCGTCAAAAGAATTTACTTCACCGTATAAACGCAGCGAATTTAAAATTTTTTAAAGAGTTATCTCTGCTTCATTGGAATCCAATTAAAGTTTCTGCAGACGCTAATCAAATTTATGACACTTTCTTTAAAACTTTTTATGAAAAACACTACCGTCCATAATTATTCGAATGGTCATACTTTTCGATATGAGATATCAGAGTTTTACTATTTAGAGAGAAATTGAAAACAAAGTCTACCTGAATTTTATGTTATCTTCCTATTTAGTAGGTTTACAAAAAAGTTGATATAAAATCCCATTGATTAGTTTATAGTTTACTTGCCTTTTAATTATCCTTAGCGACAATAACCGCCATACATATTCTTGGCGTTCTACTTAACAACTTATCCAACTTTCGACGATTTAGTTGCATAAGATGTGGAAAAAACTAATAAGTTTTTTCCACATCTTAGATATATACACCATAGATTACAAAAGATCTTAGAAGATCTCCTCTAAAATTATGCAAAAACTATATACCAAATACTTAAAAACCAAAACTAACGAAAGTAAGATTCTTTATAAAAATTATGCCAAAGAAATTGAAAGACCATGAAAAAAAAAATTGTACTACACAAGTTTACTTGAGATGAACAGGCATAATTGTAAACAAAATTGTAAAAGAAATTCTTACAGAACTTACTGGCATGCAGAAAATAAAACCGTGCTCACTACCCAAAACTATAAAAATTAATGATGAATTTTCCCCTAATCTAACTGTAATAAGTAGTGAATTAAATAAGTTTTTGTTTCTGTTGGCCCTAGTCTAGCTAATAAAATTTCTCTTGTGACTAATAAAATAAATGAATATAATTTTCCAATAACTTTGGTCTTTACATCTTTTGAATTATCTTATAAAGGTTTTGAGTAATCTTTAAAAATGCTCAAGTGTAATAAATCAGCTGGTCATGATAGTATAAATGGTAATATTGTCATCGAGTCTTATAAACCCCTAAAAGATGTATTATTTAAAGTTTACATAGTTCAACAAAACAGGAAATTTTTCCTGATTTTCTAAAAATAACTACAGTTACACCAATTTTCAAACCTGGTGATGTAACCAAATGTTTCTAATTACCACCCAATTTCTGTTTTGTCTGTTTTTTCTAAAGTTTTAAAGAGAAATTTATATAACGTAATTTATAACTGTCTTTCTTCAAATAATATACTAAATTTTAATCAATATGGATTCAAAAAAAAATAACTCAACAGAACATGCAATAATCCAAATTATTTGCAATATTTTTGAATCTAAATTCACATTGGGCCCATTAAGAACTTGAAACTTAAAGTTTATACAAGTTATAAAAGTTGTTATACATATAAATTAAACTGTTAAGATTAAAAAATCCTTTTACAACTAAAAAATATAAATAAACAAAAAATATACAAGTATTTGATTTAATAAAATATTGATTGGTTTATTTTTTATTAGTTAATTAGTTTTTATTGTTATTATTATTATATTTGATATTGTAAAGGACTTCATGATAAGATCGAATGATCTTCTGGAAGTCCTTCCGATAACACAGGTCAACAAAAAAAAGTTTTTTCTCTGGTGCTGAGCAAACAATTAGTTTTTTTTTATAGTATTTCTCATTTTGATTTCAAATATGCAACTCATTTCTCATCATCACGTCAAGTTATAAAGGTATTTGGGTTCAAATCTTTAGTATTTGGGGTAAAGTCCCTAATATTGTCGAAAAAAAAGCTTTTCAAAAGTATGTCAACCTGGGTCTCAAAAGAAGTGTATTTTCACAAAGGTTTTAGAAAACATAAATATATTTTTTTTAAAGTTATTGACGAAAAAAATTATGTGAAAAAATGCGTAAGACTCATAAAAAAAATTTAACAAAGTATTTTTTCAGCAAAAATAAACAAGTACTTATTTTTATTACAAACAAATAACATTTTTGAGGTCTCTATGAAAGTACGCTTCTTTTGAGACCCAGGTTGACATTTTTTTCGACATTATTAGGGACTTTACCCCAAATACTAAAGATTTGAACCCAAATATCTTTACAACTTAACGTGATGGTGAAAAATGAGTTGCATATTTGAAATCAAAATGAGAAATGCTATAAAAAATACTAATTGTTCGCTCGGCACCAGAAAAAAATTACTTTTTTGTTGACCTGTGTAATATTTGTAATAAACATGTCTTCACCATTATAACAAATTTTCACCGTGCAATGCAAAAAATCAATGTCGGCATTGCATGGTGAAAATTTGTTATAATGGTAAAGCTGCTTATTAGAGGAAATCTAGTTAAAAATACATTAAATATTAATTTAAGCGTTATTTTATGCGGTTATTTACACGTGAGTTTGACATGTGTTCCAAAACGCTATTTTGCATTTTTTATTTATCAACTTTCTTACGCTACTATTGTTTTAAATTAACTTTATTGACTTTCATTTAAAAGTATATTATTTAAAAATATATTATTTTAATTAACAATGTTATTTTCGCTCAGACTTTTAAAAACAATTTTACGTAATCATTAGTTTTTATGCATCGAAAACAGACAGTTTTCGATATTTTTTTTGTGCTATAAACCTTTACTATTAGGTATCAGATAAACTTCCCTCCAATATTATCCAAACATTTGATTATGTAAATCTCATGCTAAATGTATGTAAATAGCCATGCATCATAAATGTTTTGCTACTTTTTGCAATAAAAAAAGTTATAACAAAACATTGGTCTTCGGTTAAGGGTCAGTTGATGAGAAATATTGAACATGTATAAAAGATGTTATGTACACAAAGAATACCTACAAAATCTTTCATTACTGTTATAATATATAAGTTCTGTAAATATAAATTTAAAAAAGTTATTTTATGACAAATACATGCATTGAAAAGTAATATTTTTGATGTTTACACTGATAAAAGTTGTCTTTTCTATTAAAAACATTTTGTATTTTTAACCAAAATTTACTTTTTTTTTTATATTTTTTTATATTATATAATTACATGTTTATTACTTTATTTATGCATTTTGTATATAAATACCATTCTAATAAAAATAATAATTTTGGCACGAAAAACTCGATTTTGTCCCACTGTGCTGTGATAAGACCTAATGGTCTTCTTTGAGTATCCGCGTTCTTTATTAGTTTATACGGTATCTTCACTTGTAACTTTTTCCTTTTGTATATTTGTGTTTGTATCTTAAATATTGTAATAAAGAACAAAAAAATAAAAATTGGCATGAGTGCAAACATAAGTGACTGTATATTTGTGTTTGTATCTTAAATATTGTAATAAAGAACAAATAAATAAAAATTGGCATGAGTGCAAACATAAGTGACTTCT